CCTTCCCGCTGCCTTAGTCCCTCGGCACCTTACACTTTTATTCGACCGCTCGGCCGCCTGCCTCCACGTCTCCAGCCGCTTCCACCAAGCTATCCGTACACTATCCATACCTACCAAGCCAAGGTACCTTTGGTCGATGGACGAATACAATGTGAACGACCTGCCAGAAACACATCCACTCAACGGCCTCATCATCTGACACTCCCGCTACGGATACCTATCCTGATTCCTGACCGACACTTCGTTATAACCTCGATTCGCCATTCATCCATGGATACGAGTCCAAGAGCCTGCGATGCGTGAATACTTTACCAAGAGGCGCCTTCCGTGCCACATTGACCTCCTGTCGCGCCTCGTTCCCACCACGGCCTATTAGCTCAGAGCTGTATACTTCGTAGATGGTATTCTCTCTCACCGATTCAATTTGCGCCTAACTCGGCACGCCGCACGCCAACCGCGAAACTTGCCTTTCCCCTCTTGCTCTCGCCCTTCTCCAAATCTAGTCCCCCAACTCGCAAACGCCTCGCGGATACATCGCCCCGACCCTACCACGCTGTACAGGTAACAAGCCTACTTGGTTGTCTCTGGTCCGTCCAAGCTGTCAAGCGATCGACTGATGCTACGAGAAATGGCCCGCCGGCGACCTGACCCATCCCTGTCTGGCGTTGTCAGGGGGGAGGGGGGGCAACCCCGACGTCCCACCCTTCTCTGAGCCGTTCAAAGTACGGATACAAGGCCTTTGACCGTCTAGGGAGGGGGTGTGGTTTGATAGACCTAGAACCTGTTGCGGGTATCCGGTCGTTCACTTGCGGACTGCTATCGCCTTTCAAGCAACCCTCAGGTCCTTGTCAGTAAGTATCAAAATAGCGTGCCATTTTGTCAGCCTCGGTCTGTTCAAATCAAGTCAACCGGGCGTTGCCAGCATAAACGTCTGCGGCAGTTTATGGCGATCAATGCATTCTACCACAGGGGCCTCTTCAGTCTGGTCTGATTCCTTCAAACCATCTCCCGCCAAAACCTATCTGCGAACACTCAAATTCCACCAGAATTCCGACGTCAAACAGGCCAAGGTCTGCCGAACGCTTTGATCTCTAATTTCAAGTTTGATATGCGACGTCAATGGCAGTCTGTCAAGCCTTGCTGCTGCCCGATGTTGAACTAAGAACTACCCGAACCACTCTGACGCACCCGCCACGACATCGCCAAAGCCGTTCGCGACAGCTTTTCGTAGAAGATACAAGGACTTCTCGCGACGCAATCCAACATTCATGGAATTGGCATCCACCACCGTCACACTCATCGTGGAGCGTCGTACAACAGCCAACGCCCCTCGTTGGACGGCCAGGCAATCGCGATGGGCGCCTCCCCTTCTTCCAACGCTGAACGCAATGCTCTCTCTATTAATCATGGCTTGTTGTACTCGGTTAGATCGTCGGTCCATGCCGTTCATCTTGTGGCCCATCTCCCATTCAGTTGAGCTGCCGCGGTCATGCGGTTGGAGATTCGAGTCGATACAGTTTTGATAGATCTGGTTAGCTCATCATGGGCCGGACCTTTACACTCATTTTACAACCAATGGGTCAAGAACAGGGGATATTCGCCCATATCCGGTCCACTTTTGTGAGGCATTGAGCTCCATTGATCTCTGGATAGCTCTAGCTCCATGACCACCTCTGCAGTCGTCACAAGACTTGATATGGCAGTCAGAAGACAAGCACCAGCGCCATTTCGGTCTAGGGAACCAGAGTTGAAGAAGGATTGCTGACCAACAGCAGCGCTCACATCGTTTTCGGCATTCCCATTGGACATAAATTCCGGATTCGTCACCAGTTTCGCGCTGGTCATTGGATGGAAAAGATTTCTCTCGCATGAGGCGGTCCTAGCGAGGCCACTGAGAGACCCGGACTGATTCTCAGTTGGTCAGATGGTCACGTACGGATACAGAGACTTGCTAAACCGTGGGTCCATCTACGAAAGGCTTCGTTAAACGGATGGTCTGGCCAAGCCTCGACGCAATGGCGCACAAATGTGAATACCTACTTCAACGGAGAGGAGATCACGGCCGGAGGGTACAACTATGATTGGGGCATGATCCAGGTTGCGATCCAGGGTCGACCAGCATCCACCCGCGTTGGCCCGCAACGTGCGCCGTTCTCAATTTGAAGCGGGCCCTGCCGACGGTATCCCAGGCCAGGCTGAATTGATACCACAGCACCCCCGACTCAACCCTCACCCGAAGCAGTATCTGATCGCTCTAACAGTAGCTTCGCATCAGTCATGAGAAGGGCCTCTCATTTTACGACAACGTTGGGCAATCAACATGCATAATGATGATGGGCGGGCCGGGGAATAGACTAAACAGGAAAGAAGGCTGATTCGGAGACCCATCTACTCCATCTTTCCCTTGGCATCTTCCCGCCGCTAGGTAGTGTAAGGGTTTTCCATGAGTTCATGACTGACGCGTCTTAGCCAGGCTGACGATATCACTAGGTGTTGAAGCCATGCTAGTAAGACGACGAGCGCAGTCTGCCCGTCAACTTTATTTCAGAAGCTTTCGGATACGAGGGAAAATCTCAGGCTCTGGTACTCGCCTCGTCAGTGGCTGTCAGCCGTGGCTAATCACGTTTAGCTGCTCTACCTGGTCGAAGTAGCAGGAATTCACAACCAAGCCATTGTTTCAAGCCATGGGAAGCTCGGGCTTTGGGAATTTAGTTAGACACGAGGACTTTCATTTGACACAGAGAATGACCGCATCCACGTTCTCATGTCTCGACGAACATGATGGGGAAGATGCCAGTCAGTCATTGCCCTCCTCGACACCTGCTTCAGCGCCTGGTCCCTTGGTAGACCACCTCCGATCAAGGCTGCATTGGTCTTCTTGGAAGTACTACCTACGCCTGCACGCGCGGGACGTCCTCTACCAACTCTTCCCTTTGGAGCACCAATCTTGGAGGAGTCTAGGAAATGAGAGCTGCGTCAGTGCTCGGGTGGAGCGCAGCTTGCTTGTTCCCGAGCCCTCCCCCAAAACCCGCTGGAACTGACTGGGCTGGTCGACTCATGTCGCCTTGGAGCGAGCAGGGGACCTGGGCAGCACGAGCAACATTGCAGCGCAGCATCCGCCGCCGCCGCCGTCTGTGTTGCCCCTGCGCCTATTTACCCTTCCCTGCAGCCGTTCTCCCGTGGTCTGTGTCCTATCGCCCGCCGTTCGCCTCATCTGTATCTGATGCAAGGTACGGATACACTCATCTGCCCGCAAGCAATCTCGAGTCGAAGTCGAGACGAAAGGGCCAAGATCGCTGGATGGATGTCGACTGCTACCATACTCCGCAATCGACCTTTCCTTGCTTCGCATATCGCGGACTCGGACCCAGGACCCCTCGTCGAAGCTCCTCCCATCATCCTCCGAGCATAAGATGAGATGAGATCACGGCTCGCTGCGAAGGCCGCGGCCGACCCACCACTAACTAGCACGTCCCGCCCAGCAGTAGCAAACAAAAATCGGGACTTGCGAGAGGAAGGGGAGATAGAAGAGACCGCGAGACATGGGCGGTAAAGCAAGCCCTGTGAAAGGCAGGCGGAAGAGGAGGATTCGCATTTGACTGGTGGTGAAGCCCTCCATCCCCCCTCTTTTATTTTCGTTCTACTGAGGAAAACCAGGTCTGTGGCTGCTGTCATTCCGCCGGGCACGTTTCTCGTCGGGGAATTGCAGTGAAGTGCATCGCGCCAGTAGTGCCGAGTCCGTCTCGAGACAAGCGTCAGCAGCAGCGGGATGAGAGGGCAGAGGAAAAGGCGGAGTTATGAAGAGTATCATTGCAGAGAGCAGAGAAAGGGTGTCGTCTTAGCTCTACTTAAGCGCCGACGTTGCCCTCGATCCAGGGAGTCCCCCGTCTGGCTCACCCACACACCCGCCTGCCATCCCCACCCCTCCTCGGCCTGTAACCCCATGCACTGTAGGAGGAGTGAGGCAGAAGAAGAAGAGAGAGTGTGTGAGTGTGTGTGTGTGTGTGTGTGTGTGTGTGTGTGTGTGTGTGTGTGCGCGCGCGCGCGGAAGCTGCATGGTCTTGCCCACGCTACCTATTGCTCTAGTTCCTTTCTGTCTCTCTTCCACAACCTCGTCTTTTCCCATTCGCACGCGGAGCAAAGTAGTGTAAGCTGGCCAAGGGGATACACGCCCGGTACGGACACATGCGTTGAGCCTTCTTGCAGAAAGAAGAATATGCAACCCACGCTTCTCTTGGGAGGCATCTGCGGCCGCAGGACAAGAGGCCCTCGGCTATGCAGGTTCGCCCACGATTCGGGCTTCGTGACTGATTTTTCCATTGAGTTGCTGCTGCTGGGTGAACTTCAGATGGTGGCGCGTGTGGGGTAGGGAAGGGGCGGGGATGGGGGCAGCTTTCCAACGACAGTCTATCTATATCCGTACTTCATCCAGAATCTCGTTTTTCGCCCCCTTCGACGACGACATTTTGAAAGACAGCCACGCGAAAGCGGACGGCGCAAGACCTTGGTGGCGCCGTGCGCGCACGCACGAGCGCGAGGCTGGCACGGCTGGCTGACGAAAAAGAAGCCACGCTCTCCTCCGTATCCACACGGATTGGAGACCGGCGAGAGAGCCCTTTTCTCTTTTTTGTTTTTAGGCGGCACGGCGGGCTTGTCCTGTCAGGCACGCGCCGCCCGGCAGCCAGCTTTTAGTGCCCGACGGCTTCGTGGCGAGGGATGGGAACCACGGATAACTCGAACTATTATGGACGGGATGGGCAGTCAAGTGTCTACGTAGCAGGTAGCGTGGGCTTCTGTGCTTCACTACCGTACCGTGGAGTCAGGACCCTAACGCGCGAGCTGGACCGGTCCATCCGTTCCCAATCCAACCCAAATTCATCACAATGATGGCATACAATGGCACAATGTTTGTTTTCTAGTCGAAGGATACCCCGGGTGGAGATGGGGGAAACGAATGGGAGGCATCAAAGATGAAGATGAACATTGTTTTTTTTTTCTTCTCTCTGCTGCCAGAGGCCGTTTTGATTGAGAACAAATCACTTTTTTTTTTTGTTGCAAGCCTGAACTCCCACCACTCCTTTTTCCTCCCTTCCTTTTCACCTCTTTATCTTCCTCTCTCTCTCCTCTGTAATGCAAAAAGTAGCATGGTGATACCGTATAAACGCTTGCCTGGACTGCAGAAACCAACATCGCCCTTGATCCCCGTCAAACACATCCTTCCATCCATCCCTCCGCAGCTCCCGTCTCCCATCGAAATCTCGGCGGCAAGAAAACAAGATAGAGAGCAGGGAAGATGCCTCGACGCCGCCCATCAAAGGGGGGGGATCTCTAACCTCCCCCTTTTCCCCCACCCGCCACGAAATGTCTGCTTGCGGCCAACACACATTCCCACATCCCATGCTCGGTAAGGAAAAGTAGGTAGCGTACCAAGACTGCAAAAAACCCCACACACTCTTCTCACTCGCTCAGCTCAGCCTTGTTCCTTAGAAAAAAGGAGAGAGAGTCGCAACCAAACAGTGCCATTGTGTTTCCCGGCCTTGGCTTAGAGCTTACGCGCGTAAGATGCAGTAGGGGTCGGTCGGTTCCTTTCGTTTCAATTTTGGCTTTTGAAAGGAGGTAGGGTAGCGTCCTTCTCCTATTTTTCTTTCTAGTTTGCACACGATGCCATGGAATCGGGACTCGAGTAAGATCGCGGCAGGTAACTTGGAGGGAAGGGGGCGTGGAGGGGGGATGATGGCGGAGGAAAGAGGCAAGTGGCTTGAATTTTGTGTTCCCTTCGCCAAAATGGGGGTCTGCGGACGAGGAGGACCCCGAAGGCGGGCTGAAAGTCTGGGTCTGGGCTGGGCTGGGCTTGTTTCTCCTTGGGCCAGGCAAGGCATCTTGAGGCGGCGTGGGGAGAAGCATGACGACAAACGGCCGCCATGCGCCGCCGAGTTTTAGCTCGTCGCCGCGTTCGTCAGCGCTTGACGATTGTGACTGCGAGTAGTTTGAAGATGTTAGTGCCATTGTTTTGCTTTTCCTTAACCGAACTTCACTCGACTTGAGGTACGCTTCCTTTCCCCGCCGGCTCTTGTAAAATAGCTCACGGGGGCAAACGAAGGTTTTGGGATGATGATGATGACGACGACGACGACGACAACGAAGACCAGGGAAACTGAGGATTGGTGTGTGATCCTCAACACAAGATGAAAACGTACCGATATCCTCGTCGGCTAGCTCGTGAGATAGACCGACGCGCTGAGGCTGATGCTTTACGGACTTGCCGTACACAATGGCGGTCTTGAATTGTTCAAGGATACTCCTGTGAATTTGGTTACACTAGACGGAAACACGAACCGGTTAGCTAAACGTAGCGAGCAAGAACAAGCCTTAGCAACATGCGCTTCCGTCCGTCCAACTTTCGCGCGCCCATTTGTCGCGGGGGAGAGAAAAGAAGGTTCGCCCTACGACACGGGTTCGCTCGGGACGAGACGCATTGTCACGCGGAGAACCGGCTACTCACGAAATCTTCGACCGTGCACCTGTTTGAACGGAGCACGACGGGCTGAGAGTAATCTGGCAGTTTGCCCTTTGGCTTCGTATAAACGCGAACCAGCTTGAGCTTATCCCACCTATTCGCCAAGAAAAGAAAATCAAAAACGTTAGCTTCTTTGGTCTCGTGAGTGCAATTTTAGGGGTAGCGGGTTCATCCTTGTCGTGGACGACGATCGTGTCGCTCCGGGAGGCGAGAACCGGCCGAAGGTCCGACGGCTAACGAGGAAATGAAGGCAAGGGGGAAGACAAAGTTAGAAAATCCTTACATTGCCTCCATCAGCTCATCAATGTTCCATCCCTGCTCCGAACTGATCGGCACGGCGTTCGGGATACGGTAGAGCAAGTCGAGCTCCTCGATACTGATGGCATCAATCTTGTTGAGGACGTAGATGACGGGGATGTAGTTTCTGCTCCTCGCCTCGAGAACGTCAATGAGGTCGTCAACGGTGGCGTCGCAGCGGATGGCAATGTCGGCCGAGTTGATGCGGTACTCGTTCATGACGGCCTTGATCTCGTCGTGGTCAATGTGGGTGAGGGGCACGGTGCTCGTAATGTTGAGGCCGCCCTTTTCCTTCTTCTTGAAGGTGATATTTGGCGGCGACTTGTTGATGCGGATGCCGAAGCCTTCGAGTTCCGTCTCGATGACACGCTTGTCCGTCAGGGGCTTGTTGACGTCGAGGACGATGAAGATGAGATGGCACGTCTTTGCGACGGCGATGACCTGGCGACCACGACCGCGGCCGTCCTTGGCTCCTTCAATGATACCCGGCAAATCAATGATTTGCAACGGCGCACCTGAGCAACGAAACAGAATGTCAGCGTTTTCGACTTTCGACTTCCCCATTCCTTTCTCTTGCCAAATCGCTGTCCCGGACCACATAAGATCTATCAGAACATACCATTGTAAGTGACCTGACCCGGAACGGACGTCAACGTCGTGAACTCGTACGCCGCGGCCTCGGAGTGCTGGCCCGTCAACTTGCTCATTAGGGTACTCTTTCCCACGGACGGGAAGCCGATGAAGCCGATACTCGCGACACCCGTACGCGCAACGTCGAAGCCGGCACCGCCGCCGCCGCCACCACCCGAGGGCGTCAAGAGCTCACGCTTGAGCTTGGCGAGCTTGGCTTTCAGTTGACCCAAATGGAAGGACGTAGCCTTGTTCTTTTGGGTCTTGGCCATCTGTTTGAGGGAAGAGAAAGCATTCCGTCAGCTTGCTGATTTGCGCGTCGTATTCTTGTCTAATTTATCTGTGTAGAGGGTGGAGGGGGAGGTTTTTTCCTGATGTCGTCGGATCGAAGATTTAGGTTTCTTGGAAGCAGTTGCCCGTCTGTCGCCGACGTCACGAACGCATGTTCCCTCTTTCAGGTCATATAGATATACAGCCTTCGAGTTCTCTCGACATCGTCGACGACGGTAAAGGGGGCGGGACGAGGTTTGCCCTCGGTTTGAAGGTGGAGGGGGAGGAGGGGCTGGACACGTACTTCGGCCTCGATATCTTTGATCTACATGAACAAGAGTGTTAGTCAAGATGGTGTCCTCGCGAATAGATAAGAGAGAAATGATGGAAAATTCAATCCGGCCGGCTGTGAATGTCTCCGCGAGAAACATTACCTTGTCAACTGTGGTCGCCATGATTGCGGTGTTTCGTCACTCGGGACGTTCTTGCGCTGTATGGAGGGGTTCGATTTATGGATGGCTAGCTTTTCCGATTGCGACGTCGACGTCCAAGCCGCGGGCAGAAGGCAAAGCGAAGAGAAAGTGTGCCGTGGCTCGCAGAGTTTGTGTGGGGGTATCAAATAAGTAACGTTCGCCGTCGTCCAACTTCTGTCTCGCTGCCCAAGTTTGGGTTGATGGTTCTGGCAGTTGGTGATTCCGGTTGTGCACCTGGTGGTGGATTTTCGGGTGCAAAATGGCGGGGACACTGGCACCTTGTGCGAAAAGGCTAAGGTACCGCACATGAAATTTCAGCGGGGCATGGTGGGAATGCACCGTCTTCATTGGCTGCACAGGTTTTTGAACGCAGTGATGTCAGAAACCTGAATCATTCAATCAAAAGTCTTCAACATCTTAGGTAAGAAACGGCAGCACTTGGTTTGGTGATTGATGATGTGCAACAATTCTTGAAAATCTAGAGAAGGCACGAAGCGATGACCGGGACAGGCAGCATTGTGAATGTGTTATTTTCGTCGTCTACCTTCCCTATCCCTGTGTCCCATCCCAACCAGTAATGCCTCCTACAGGTAGGCTCCCAAGCTCTTGATTCTCGGCTCTCGTCCAGATCTAATCATGGCCATCCAATCCTTTGTTCATCAACTGACCACACACAAGAGCTGACTCTTGCGCTTCATAAACTAAGAAAGTTTCATCTGTCGATACAGTGTCTTGTCACCCAACAGGGCTTGAAGAGTGAATGCCATGGTGTTGCTGTCCACACAGTGGCGTGAGTAACACACCTTTAGCATCCTCCAGACCCGTTTTGAAGTCAAGCAACTGCCCCAATCGTAAGGATCGCAAGGCCAGCGGAAGGGCAAATAGGCAGCTGGGTCTATCTCTGATGATGCACAGCGGTGCCTTGGTACGTTCCATCGGCACTCGGTGCGTTAAAATCCGGGGATTGCTGTGGCAATGTGTACATGTGTATATTAAATATTGGTTCGTTCGATCTACTTGTGATCCAACTCAACTCAGTTGGTGCTTGGCGCCGATACACCGTTAACGCCATTGGGAACAGGTCTCGACTCTGGCAACACTGGCGCTGTAGCGGAGGCTGCCGGCTGGGTATCATTGACGGTCTCGGCCATTGCCTCTGTGGCATTCGACTGGCTCCGTGGCGACAAATGACTGCCGTTGGGCATCGTCGGCGTTTTTGTGCCATTCAGAAGGAAGTCAAGCCCTTGTTCTTTGCACACGCGGGCATAGTCGGGGTCGCCAGGACGGGCATAGTCGCATACCAGGCAACCCTTTCAGAAACGTTGCAACTCGAGGACGCTTCAAAGGCTGCTTGTGGCAGACAGTCCAGGCATCTGCTCCTCAACCATGACACCGTTGATATAATATTTGTTCCTCGGCGCGAAACCCAAGAATCGATCAGCGTCGGGGTCTTGTTTCCATTTCTGCGGGACTTGCCATCCGTAGAGTTGGCCTTCGTTGTCTGGAAGTTCGCGATACTCAACGCTCATCTTGAGGTCCCGAAGATGCGGAACGTCCTGAGCAATCGACATCAAATCCGATACCTGTATTCCGAGTCAACCCAACCACCCATTATCATCACCGGACAAACTAAAGACGTACCTTGACGAAGAACATGTCCATCTTCAAGAACTTCTCACGAGCCTCGCCACGGAGTTTTTCCTTCGAGCGGAAGCTCATCTTGAAGGGATCCTCGCCCTCTCCGTAATAATCTGAAAGGCCAGTCCCGAGTTCGTAGAAGTTCTCCTTGAGCAAGGCATACCAATCCGACTCGAGTCTCCAGATGACCTTCTTAGCGAGGTCAGACACGGAAACATGTTCCCAAGCCGTATCTAATTTCCCGTCAGTGATGAGCAACGCGGAAAGATCTTGCGAGCACTTACATTTTGACAAGGAGAGGTCCTTCTCCCCCAGGAGTAGCGCAACATGGGTGTTTAGCACCCACTGTTCTCTACCGTTTGCCGTGCCATTTGCTTGCGGCTGAATGGTGTCGAATCGCACGCCTTGCATATGCTTGAATTTGGCGGCGTATTCCGGAGTCTTGGGGTTCGGGCAAGCGTCGAGCCAGCGCAACAGAGGAGGCAGCTTCGCCACGCGCATGCGTTCTTGCTCCTCGAGGATACGGCGCTGCTCGGCCTCTTTAGCAGCTCGCTTGCGTTCCATCTCCTCGCGTTCAAGTCGTTCCTTGCGCTCACGCTCTTGCCGTTCCTCCTCTTCGCGAACTCGCCTGGCTTCCTCGGCAGCTTCGCGCTCGATGCGTTCCTTACGGAGTCTCTCCTTTTCTTCTCGCTGCTTGCGAGCTTCCTCCTCCTTCTTCTTCGTTTCTTCCTCCTCACGTCGCTTCTTCTCCTCCTCCTCGCGGAGCCTTCGTTCTTCTTCTTCACGCTCGCGTTGCTTCTTCTCTTCGGCCTCGCGCCGCTGCCGTTCTTCCTCCTCCTGGCGTTTCTTTTCGAGTTCGGCCTTGCGCTTGCGTTCCTGCTCCTCGCGATGTCTTGCTACTTCCTCCTCCTTCAGACGTTTCTCCTCAGCGTCGCGCTCACGCTGCTTCTGCTCAGCTTCACGTTTCTTCTGCTCAGCCTCTCGCTTCTTCTCTTCGGCCTCGCGTTCGCGTTGACGAGCCTCCTCCTTTTTGCGGGTTTCTTCGGCCTCAGCTTCGCGACGCTTTCGTTCTTCTTGACGCTTCTCTTCTCTCCTACGCTCCTTCTCTTCGAAACGTCGCTTCTCGTCGTCGCGCTCCTTCTTGATTCGTGGTTCCGCTTCCACTGTGTCCTTGACATCCGACGCATCTGGCATCTCGATGTCAAAATCCTCAGATTTGACGTGGATACTAGACTTATCACTGTTACTCGATTTGCCGGATTCTCGTCTGTGACCATCGGCATCTGCCTTGGCCTTAGTCGGTCTCCGATCGCTGTCGTCGTGGTCTCTCAGACTGGACTTTGATCGAGGCGGGCCATCACGAGGTGCCCTGTGAGGATCATCGGGCGAAGCGATCGATTTTGGTCGTCGCTCCTTACCCTCAACATCAAGCCGCCTACGCTTCACGGGTGCCTCGCCTTCATCCTTGTCTCCCGTGCTTGAGTGTGGTGGCGTGACACTTGAACGATGTCGTTTGGACGAATTATCGCCAGACACCGATAGCCGATCCCGAGACTCGTCCCTCTTGAGAGCTTTCGTGCGATCGTGGTACTTCTCCGACAGCGGCTCGCCCTTTGGCTTTTCGGGATGATCGTCAAGTTTTGGGTCGCGGGGGCTCGAGGGATCTTTCAGTGATGACGTGGTGGACACCATGCTCGCTCGTCGATTCTTTTCTCTCTCGCCACGAAGCTCCCCCTTGGATACCAGCTTACGGCGCGGCTTAGCAGCCTCTCCTTCAGAGGACATTGCGGCAACGTCGGACTCGGCTCGTTTCGCTGCTTTAGCAGCCTGCTTCTGCGAAAGTGCGGGTGAAGCCTCTCGGTCTGAAACAGCGATTGTAGGTACTCGGTCTTCTTTACGCGGCCTGCCAGGACCACGCTTCGGTGAGATTTGATCTTCGTGAAATGAATCCGCCCTACGCTTCTCCTTTGGACTTGTGATGGTTCGTCCAGAAGAAAGTTTCTTCCTTTTCTCCGGGTCACGGGACGGGCTAGAAAGGTTACGCTTGTGCGCACGCGCTTCATCCTTGAGTTCATTCCGACCTTGGCGCTTTGTCTCGCGGTCCTGCTCTCTGTCGCGGTCCTTTTCCCGTTCTTTTTCTCGCTCGCGTCTGCCAGGAGATTTTGTCTTTGAAATGTCGCGGTGTGACTTTCTATAGGCATCGTAAGACTCCTTGAGCATGTGCTCCTCGTCTTTCCAGTTCGTTCCCTGTCGACGGCGAGCAATTTCGTGGTAGGTCTCGCCTTTGAATCGGCGAGTCGGATCAAAATTCCCCTGGTCCAAGAGTAGTCTGACGACCTTGATATTTTCCTGGCCGATTGCCGCCAGCATTGGGGTGGCGAATTCGGGTGGCATGCTCGAAACAGGCGCAGGGTCTGGGTTCGCTCCACCAAGAGCCAGGAGCAGTTGAATCACTACTTCGTGGCCTCCGCGAGCAGCAGCAACCATGGCTTCAGAGTCATCGCAACCGTCCTTGACTTGCAAAATCCGCGTCACAGTCTCCTCGTCGCCCTTTCCTGCAGCTTGTCGTAACGTCTTGTCGTCAAGTGACATGTACAAGAGATGATTGCTTGTCTTGTTTGCCCTGACGGTGCCGGCTCGCCGACCGCTGGCGTTGGACGCAGATGGTGCAGGTGACCGACGAGGGCTGTCTGGGCCATGAGATGATCTACTGTCGAATTGGTCGGTAGGGTGGTGATCTTCGGATGTACGTCTGCGTTCTCCTTGTCGCGACTTGGCCTCATTCAATGCGGCTCGGAAATCGTCTGCATTCTCCAAATCGTCGCTGACTCGGTCCAAGGGCTCCTCTCCGCTCAGGTTGGCTTTCCTTGGATTTACCCCCGCATTCAGCAACAGTTTGACCACTCCCAAGTGACCGTTGTCGACAGCGTCTAGCAATGGTGTGTCTTTGTCATAGTTGACACAATCCAAGTTGCAGCCAGCGTCAATGAGGAGCTTGACGATGTCCTCGTATCCGTTAATCGCAGCAATCTGAAGTGGCGTGTTGCCAGCATAGTCGGCCACATTGAGATCCTCGGGTCGCTCTCCTAGTCTTTGCTTGGCCAGGTCGTACTCGCCTCGGGCACATGCCCTAGCGAGGAAGGTTTGGCCGTGTGCGTCGAGGTGTTTCTTGTGTGGTGCAATCTTGGCCGGCGACATATTTGACTCGGCGGTGGCGGGGGTGGAGAGGTTTCGCAGCTTGGAGCTCCGAGGATGAGGGCTACCACTGGCAGAGGATTCATCCGAGTGATAGTCTGTAGATTGTAGCGGCGGAGGCAGACGTTTCTTCTTGTAACTCAGGCCATTAGACGAGTTTGCGGGAAGTTGGGTCGAGACGCTCCGCCTGTGGGCACGTGGGTGGTGTGGAGAGACGGATCTGGTGCGTGATCCTGAGTGGCCGTCGTGTTCTCTCCTAGACGAAGACGATGACTTTGGTTCCTTGGGTAGGCGAGCTCGAGCTTCTATGGTGTTGTGATCCGAGATTCGTTGCCGTCGGACCTTTCGATTTTCCGCCTCATCATCTGAGTCTGCCCTGGAAGCTTTGCGTTTGTGGGGAATTCTGTCGATGGACTTTGCCCGGTCCTTCAGGGACAGCTTGGGGGATTTCCTACGGTCAGCGCCCGTATCGGAATCGGAGTGCCCACCAGATCGACGCCTGTGGTGGGGAGGGGATGCAGGAGCCGAGCTGAGGCCGCTGGAACCATCTTTACTCCTGGCCGATTGATCATGAAGGCGCTTCTTCTTCAGGCCGAGAGAGGAAGCCGTTTCGGACAGACGGACAGGATTGGCCGTCTTTTCCTTGTCGCCATCTCTGCTGGCACTCGCATCACGATTTTTCCGGGGGACCAGGGGAACGGGGAGAACCGGGGGCTCTCCATCGCTGCGGTCCTCGTGCTTTACCTTCCTCGCCTTGGAGGGTGAGTGTCCATCCTTACCAGGCAGTACGATGGTCTCGGCATCAGAGTCTCGGTCGACAGGAGCATCGTCGGCTACGGGAGGGGCGCGAGATACGATTACGCTAGGCTTGACGTCTTTGGATAGATGAGGCGGGGATTTGATAGAATCGTCCACGTTCTTGGTCGGTTTGCTGTTGGACTCGTGAGACTCGTCAGGTTGGTGATTGCCCGGTCGCTTCTCCGCCGCAGCGACGGGCTTCGACTTGTCGGACCCGGCAGCATTCTGCGCATCCATATCATTTATCTAGAGGTCGAAAAACTGGCCAGCAACATCCTGGCCAAAGGTCGGCCGCGAGAAAGAGGGTTGGAGAGGCGGATTGAATTGAAGACGGCCGGTAGACTAATCCTCAGTCGCTCGAGGTGACCCCCCTAAGAGAAAGTGGCCAGGTCAGTCACGGGGGGGTGCGCGCGCGAGAAAGGCGTTGGGCGTGGGTGTCGGACGGGGAGGAAAATGTTGCGTATTGGATATCGGATCACGTCGAGTATGAAAGGAACAGAAAAACGACTAAGGAAGCGCCTGGCCGGGACAGAATAATGCGTGCGAGATGGACGGAGGCCGAGCGTTGGTAGAGAATGCGGGAAAAGAGACTGTTGGTGACGCTTGATGCTTCGATTTGGCTGAAAGGTGGAAATGGGGCCGCGAGCGAGTCTTCAGAGTCAAAAAGTCTGATCGCCACCTCTTTGATTGGGCCCGACCAGGGGGGAGGGGACTTGCTCGAGAATACGGGACACGGAACAGCCACAACCAGCAAAGGAGACGGGAGACAGGAGACAGGAGACCTGACAGAGAAAGCAGCAGTAGCAGCCGGGCATCAGACAAGCAGGCACACAACACGCAGCACGCAGCACGCAGCTCTGAGGCAAGCAGCAGGTTATGGAAAGTGAGGTGTGCAGCAGGCACCTGGTGGTAGCGGCACTGGCAGTGGCAGCCTGACGACTGAGGTGGCCACATCAGCCAGCAGTCGGCACTAGGTAAGGTACGTACTCGGGTTGAATTCGACAAGCGGTACTTTGAATCACAGCGACGTTTTGCGGTATCTACAAGTACCCGACCTCGACGAAAAGTACGCTGCCTCCTTGGGTGGCAGACCAAACGACCTAGGATTCAACCTGGACGTTAGCCCCGGCACCCACCTTGCTTCAGAAAGATAGGGTGAGATTGAGATAGCAACGCCGTCGTCTTTCTCTTGCAAGCTGCATCACTGGCTGCACGTTGTCGCTAGCCACCTGACCCTGGACACACCGACCTGCGGAAATTTCCCATGGATCCAATGCAAAACGAGTAGCTCGTCCATCTAAGGCTTTTTTTCTGTGGTTTGCTAGTCCAAAAACTCGTCTTTCTCCTGCTGGTGGGAAACCTCGAATCTGCCCGGTGCGTGTTCTTGGTGCGACTCGAAAGGTACGTATCAAAGCCTCCAAATTCCCTATGCCCCACCTCGGCCAATCCCAGCCCCCTCCAGAGTCGCAGCAGGCTCCTCTTCCCCCTCCCCGGCCGTCGCATCTTGAATTCAAATGGCGAATCATGAGCGACATCCAAAACGGAGAGCTCATGAAGCGGGACCAGACCAGCCAATCATCTGCTGTGGCGGATAGCACCACTGCCACTGAGAACGGACACCTTACCGTCAGTCACACGCTGCCTGTGACTAATCGACCTGCCGTTTCCCGATTAGACCTAGTGTATTCTAAGCAGGCGTCCGTTCTCGCCTTTTCTTGTTATTAGTGCAAGACCTCCCATCCTTGACTGCTTGAGGCAACTGGCGACCTCAGGTTTGGCGTGTCTAACAACCACAAGCAGGCGCGCTCAAGCTCAAGCCTTAGGTTGGAGACTGGAGTTGGACGTCTTCTTGCCCGTCGCTTCCATCCATCCATGATCCAGCTCCCGTCCTTGCTTCTCCACCCAACCTTGCCATCCTCGTCGCTCCCATCGTTGCCTGCATCCTCCCAGCCGGACGCAGAACCGTTTGACCCTTAGCCTCTTATGCCGCTTTACAGCCGGAGCTTGGATCTTACGTCGACGACATTTGCGCACCTCGTGCCAACTTGCGACAAGCTTCGACGTAGCTAGGTTTCCCGACCGCTTCAACCAACATCACGTCATTTCGTTTGGGATCCCCATCCATAAAGTTAGGCGCAGCCCCAGATCACACCACCTGTGTACCAACTATCAAACGTCTGCGACCACACAGCTGCGAGGCGAAGCCAGCAACATGCCTTTGGCAGCCGTGAACTTACCTGCCTCCCTCGACGACGTCAGAGTCAAGAAGCTTCCGCCATCCTCTTACTACATTGCGGACTTCATATCAGAGGAGGAGGAGCGCTTAATCTTACAAAAGGTACGGAAAACCTATTTCGACGACGTCCGTCGAGCCAAAAGCTGTGGCTGACTTGCCCTTGCAACCAACAGATAGCTGAGGCGCCGAAACCCCGCTGGAAGCAACTGACTCATCGACGTCTCCAAACATGGCCGTCCGATCTCGTCAACAACAAGCTGATCGATGCTCCCTTGCCACAGTGGTTGCAAGAGCCTGTGATCTCGCGAATTCTTTCCTTACCTCTTGCCGCCGATTCTGATTCGTCCAATCTCTTCGCTAGCAGTCCTCACAAACGACCGAACCACGTGCTGATAAACGAGTATCCTCCGGGAGTAGGAATCATGCCGCATAAGTTGAGTACATGGTAGGTGTTCACGTGAAGAGCTTTGAATCTCATGCTGGCTATAGGACGGGGCTGCCTATCATCCAGTTGTGTGTACCGTCAGTCTTGGAGCAAGTCTGTGTCTGAACCTATACCAAATCAAGGAGGATGGTGCCATGGACCCAGAGCCTGTGGGACGCATTCTTCAGGAGCCCAGGAGTCTTCTCATCACCACCGACGACCTCTATACCGATTACCTCCACGGCATAGCCGATGTCGAGGAGGACGTTGAGCTATCTGCCGAGACGATCGTGAACTGGGACCTTGTGCGTTCGCAGGATGATTTTTCTGCTGGCCGAAGCGCACGCGCGACCAGGACGAGTCTGACATACCGAGACGTCATGCAGGTGTCGAAACTCGGAGCCAAGTTTGGCTTATTTGGAAAGAAGTGATATTCGAGGCGCAAGTGTGTCTAAAAGACAAAGGGTATCATCCTCCATTTGCTGGCGACCTTCTCAGCACCAAACTTCTGCGCGTACCACTGCTTGGTCCCATCTGCCGTTGTGCCTAAATTGGCGACAATGAACCACAAAGCACCTATGAGGGTGCGGTTGACCATGTAGCCCTTTGGCGCGGCTATTATGGCAAGGCCCAAATAGATCAGGCATTCGCAAGTGTAATGAGGGCAGATGAGATACCGAAAAAGGCCCTCCTCCGGCAATGAATACTTCTTGAGGCTGGCCAAGTGTTTGTGGCATTTATGCTGATTAGACCATCCGTAGAGGTACGTGACGGTCCCAGCGACGACTCCAGGTGACAGAAGGCCCTCCAAGTTTGGCTTTGCTTCTTGCCTCAAGGCGGCTGGGAAAGGTGAGTGTGCATCTGAAAGTGGAAAATGACGGTCCTCACCTGAGCCGTCAACCCAGACGGATACACTCATGCAGAGATAGAAACCCAATCCAAGCAGCCAATGAACGAACCACATCCTAGAGGACCCTGGTTTCATCACAAAGAGACACTCGTACAATCTCCTCGTGCCTTGCAGCGCCATCAATGTCCAGACGAGCACTGTCTGCTCGAAGCTCACAACCGGGCCGCCCGAAGCCGCCTGCCGGCCAGAGATGATGGCCATGACTGAACCGCTTTGAAAATACTGCCATGCCCAGAAAGCCGAACCTGCAACGGACGCGACGTAGAAGTGCATGAACCACGCGTGTGGGATTTGACCAAAGGAAGTCACGGCTTTGGCGGCTTGCGTGAAGAAGTCCAATCCATTGGGACCAGTGGGCTCCTCCGTCCGGTCGTCGGTGTCGGTAGTATTAGCCGGCGAGCGGGCGCCGTAGTCGAGAAGAAGACGCTGGGTCGTCTTTGGGACTACCTGGATGGCCAACACTACTGCTGTTGAAAGCCCGAAGAATATCTGGCACCAATGGGCCGGCGGCAAGGCTGAGAGAGCATTCATCATCGTCGTCGTTGTAAGGGAGGCCATGGCGTGGCCGGTATATGATGAGCGGTTGAGGTTAGAGCAGGGGTTGCTTGTTGTACAGTGTTGCGGGAGTACTCGATACGGTCCAATATGACGAGCCGGATCAATCGGATCAACTCCCAGCCGCTCCCGATGACATATGCGGGCGTAAAGCAGCGGCTCAACTCTCGATACTCAAGGTGCCTCGGGACAGTTATTCGAGGGCGCCGTTCATAGGGTCACATCCACGCACAATCCCTATTGGACTTTTCCAGAGATGCATGCCACATGCAAGCTGAGGGGGATCAGCACACTGCGTCCTCCCGCCCGCTCCGCCCGACCAAAGTGAGGCTTCCAACGCATTCCCGCCTTTCTTGTCAGAAGTGTAAGGCGGCCCGCTCGAGGCGCAGTCACATCTTTTGGGGGCCGGCGGCTCTGCAGGCTGCAAGCCCAGCTGCAACACCGCGGCAGGCTGTAGGCTTCTCTCCTGTCCGCCTGCCTGGAAGCTGCCTCGTTGCAACCTGGTTTCTGTGTCTCGAAGCGCGTGGATGTGGCTTGCCGTGTTGGCTGGTTGGAATCGGGAAATATAGTACCTGGGAACTACTGAGGTGGTCTTTGGTGACACTGATTCTCAGACTGTCTCTTCGTGAGGGCATCGGGCTCTAGGCTTTCTTTTTCTTGGATAGTCGGGTAAGAAAGATCTAGATGTTTAATTGGGGAAAGTGGAAATATGATTTGTACAGGGCATGCGTGAATTCCATTTCATAGTGTGCATTCGTGTTCGCTGTGAAGGAGGTCGGCGATACCCAGCCTGATCATGGCTTACATCTGATGTGGGTGGGCGTTGGTGCTGGTCCGCCTGGTTCGCCCAGTGTGGCCGGCGCTGATTGTATGGATTAAGTGGGATGTGTGGTTCGCCTGCCTCCTTGGATTCGCGTATATAAGGGGCTTCCCGCTCCTCGGAAATCCAGTTCATTCCCATCCCTCATCACGAAGCATCAAAGCACAACTACCCCATCTTTCTCTTCTTTGGTGTCGTTTCCATTCCTTGATACTTGACCTATCAATCCTCATCTCAGGCTGTATATAGCTGGCCCGACTCGCCACCTTCACCGTGACCGCGATCGACTTCCCCCAGTCCGAATAGTCTTCTAGTCTCTGCTGCGTCTTTACCCCGTCTTTCATCTCCAGTGTGCAGTTCGCGTAGGGTATTGCTCTCTGCTCACGAGGCTACCGTATCGTGACCAGTGTGACAGGGTGGCAATTGTTCTTTGATGAGTGATCTTAACTGCTATTGTGCTTTAGCGAGCTCTTCCCGAATAGATCAGGAATGTAACTAGTTGATCTACTGCAGTATACAGGTAGTCGGTCGACTTACTACTTCGAAGAGCTCTGACTGAATGTATGATGGCCAGGACCTGGGTATGGAATAGGAGAAAAGGGGCGGGCGAGGGGTAATGGCTTGGGGTTTGGACAGTCATACGCAGTTGACGGGGTTGGTTCGGTTGAATCGGAATCATAACCTTGTGCAGTGAAGTAGTTGGGGCAAGGAGATGATGACCTGACTATGTGATGTGTAACTACAATCAAATTTACTTCGTCCACATTGGAGAAGAGTGGCATGAAAGTTCATGATCCAGTCATTAATAGATTTTCGGTGAATATGTTAATCTTAGGACACAGCGCTCTTATTCGTCTTGTATCACATAGGACGTAGGAGATGGATAGCTTCGTCTAGTAGCATGATTCATCCCCGCTTCGGTTCGAATTGTAGGGGAATAAAGCCAACGCACTTACACAGACAAGTGAGTAATGAGAGGATCAGAGACCTGAAATTCCTCGGCCAGTTCTATTGGACTTGGCTCTCATCAAATTCTGTTTAATCTGTCAAACCCCCGTATCTGAAGAACATTCTCATGAGAGTCTTCGGGCCCATGTATAATCTTGGGTACTATGAATGATGCCTCTGCCCACAAGCACAATCTATAAAACCTAAGTCCTAGTTAACCACTCATGTTGAGGACAAATTTCATTTGGAAAGGCGGTGCAAAGTATCTAGACGAGAAGAGTAGAAACATGTTTAGATGAGACGGACTGCTGAGACCTTGCTGCTACTTTCTGAGTCCGCGATTTGGTTTTCTAGTGATATTGATGATGAGCCTGGGGCATGGAGAGAAGCTTTTTCTATATACTAACATCTAAAGTCATGACCAAATCGAAGAAAATCTCACCTTTCTTGCCCGTATATCAATACTCGTGGACCACGAGATTTGCAATCTGTGATCATTCTTGCTTATCGACGTTTGTTTACAAACATTTAGTATACTTACTTTCTATCATTAGAGATGCTGCCGACAGGAGGGAACTAATAAAACTTTTATCAACACTCTAGGCTGTGAACATTGCTAGATCTTTTTCTGCGTTGTGAAGCTCGTCCGTTTCTACCATTCATATTCACAGAAGGAAAGCTAGAGATGTATTAAACTCATCTGCATCTTCAGTTTGGGCCAGTTTTGGGATTAAGGAGTGAACATGAGAGTAAAATATAGTTGAAAAAGCAAAAGATGTTGGAACTTATGAGGAAAGAGCGGTTGAGTAAACAGACGGGATTCCTTCGTGATTAACGTCGAAACCACCTTCTCAATAAGCCACTCATGATGCTTCATTGCAAGAAATGCATTGATTAAGTTCGTCTCGAAGTCTTGGAAGCCCACAAAGATCACCCGGGACTCCAAAGTCTAGCCACCCAATTCTATACTCAACCAAACACCCACACGAGCCATCTCATAATCCCTTAAAGCACCCTCGAATCCATCCCATAACCCTCTTCAACAACCGTCTGCTACCTTTATTCTCGCCCTTCCTCCTCCCCCGAACCACCTCAACCTCAGACTTACCACGAGTCAACCCGAGGCCCCCATCCTCAAAAGCCCAAGCCCGCAAGCGTTGCAAGTCCCACGCGTCCCTCTCCCCGTCCACGACCCTCCCCAGCGCACCATCGTCAAAGGCAATGCCCCTCCAAAGCAGGACCCCCAGGACCTGGGCCCTCTTTGCTCGGCGAATCACCTCCTCATCGCCCACTACGCGTCCGACCTCGTCCCAGAAGAGTGCGCGGAGGGAGGCTGCTTCGGGGTAGTACTCGAATCTCGTTGTTGTCGTCATTGTCGTAGTCGTAATCGTTGCCGTTGTAGTAGCAGCACTCCCACCGCCAACAAAGTCAACATCGCTGCTCCCACCAACGACAACATCCTCCCCCAACACCTCCTCGAGCCCATACATGCCCACCCCGAACGGCAGCCACTCCGCCTCGGCCCAGTCAATCAACCCAACCAGCCCGCCAGCCCTCTCCTCCCTCCCCCACCCCAGCTTCCGCCTCACCCACGCCTCGCCGCCCTCGTCCTCTGCCTCCTCGCGTGGCGGATGAACCATGATATTATCCGGCACGAGGTCCCCATGCGTAACAACCCAAGGCAACCCCTCAATACCTCTAAGATCCCTCCTGACATCCCTCACAACGTCCCGAAACTCACAAGGCAACCCCTTTTCCATAATTTCCAACCGCCACGCCAAACTCCCGCCCACGCGCCCCCTGACACCCGTATTGCCGTGTCCTCCACCTCCAGAACCCTCCCGCCTACCTCTCCACGAATCCGCAAACACAACAGCCAGATCCGCGACGAGCCTCCTTCTCGATGCCCTCGGATCCGTCTCCAGACCCGCGCATATCCCCCGGAAGCCCGTCAACGACACACCGCCCACTCTCTCCAGGAGATACGCACACAGCTCCCCGTCCTTTTTCCCCTTCCCGCCACGAGTCGTCGTCGCCGTATCCAGCCCCTCCAACACACCAAGCTCCTCCACACCCGGCACGACCCCATCCCCAAGTACACCCCTAGCCTCACCACACATCTCGACATCGATACCGTGCCTCCGAGGTCGAAACTGAACGAGTCTTCCGCCACCACCACTACTGCCGCCGCTCTTCCAACTCGTACCGCTCTCGCTCTGGCTCTGGCTCCCGACGCTCCCCCCTCCGCCGGCCTCCACACCGCTGTCCCGCCGCCGCCCCGTCGCTCCGCCGGGAAGCGGCCTCAGGAGCAGCGTATAAGAGCAGTACCCCTGAAACGGCGCCCTCTCGACCTCGCACCCGGGGAACATTGCCCGCGCGAACTCGTGCGCTGCCGTGACAGCGGAGGGACGGAGTCCGTTCCTGAGCAAGAACGCCGCGACTTTGCCGTCGTCGTCTCTGGTCTCGGTGTCTTTGGCGTCTGCGTCTTTGCCGTCGGTGATACCTCGTCCATCTGAATGCTCAGCCCCCAACTCCAGAACTGGGCTGGCCTCTGCCGCATCGTGCAGAATCGACGGTATCATCGAAGCAAACCCTCCGTGGCCTTGTCTCGAAGCTTTCGCGACGGCGAGATTGTCATCGTCATCTCTGCGGGGTCGGGTATGAATCGACATTATCAAGGTAGATTATCTCTTCTTCTTTTTGTCGGGGTTTTCTTTCAAGGCGGTTTCCAAAGTGCCATTATACAATAAACATTACAATTACCACTCATGAGAAAACCCGTGGGGAGAGTCGACGGAGTGAAGCAGCGTTTATCAAATTTCTCACCTTGGTGAAGTGAGCGTGAAGTGAGCTGAGCTGAGTAGGTAGCGCGTGTGGGGGAAAATGGGGTCCCAGTCGAGTTCACATGACGGCACCATCAGCAGGTTTTCCCGCCTGCGTTTTCTCGGTCAGCGCCCACGCATGTGGTTTTTCTGCAGCAGATGGCTTTTCGGGGAAAGGAGAGCATGAATGGGGGGGGATGAACAACTCCGACCACACCCACTCCGCCCACGGGATGCGCCCGCGTGGGGTGGTGTCTTGCAGATGACTACCCGTCATCTAGTCCGGGAGTAATCATCACACTTGGTCCTGAGGTGAGCATTCCGGAACAGTCAACACTATCTCTCATAAAAGAAAATGTATGGGGAACATTTGATAAGATCATTTTTGAATGGTAAGTTTGTATTATTACCTGAAGGTAAATTTAGAAGTGGATAAAGAAGAAAAAAGAGAAGAAAAAGAAGAAGCCCAGAGGTTCTAGAGGACAAATGAAGTCTTTTCCCCTAGCCCTTTTTGATGAAAACATCCCGTGTTTATGCCCGTTTCCTTTACTCCATGCGAAGGGTATAAATCGATGCGCGCGAACCCTATGGCCCGCGGCATGCATGCTCTTGTTTCGTCGGTGCACTCGGCTCCTCCATCTTACACGCGGCATCATCTTGTCCAGAGTGCGGTGCGTCGGCAAGGGAAACTCCTGAGCGGAAGAGGGGAAGAGAGCGGAAGCGCTGCCGGCCCTTTTTGACGCCAGCTTTGATTGGCTTCCGCCGTCGCGGCCCTAACCCAGCCGGGTTTCCCGACGCCTCGATGTGCGGCAGATCGTCCTGTCCTGTCCGTAGCTCCGAAGCTCCGTGGCTATTGGACGGCGTCGACCGCGGCTCCAGTGGTTGATACAACCAGACGCCTTCCCGATACAACCCCAACACCCTCACAGGCTGACCCGGCCTTGCCTGCGCCCGGTTCTATATGATATTCGGCCGTTACTGATATTCGTTACACGCGCAGTATGAAATGCGCAGCTCGCCAATCCATGTGAGCCAGTTTATTTGCGGGCTCTGCGGTCGAGCTCGACCTTGCTGTACCACGCAGCACCAATCATGGTGAGAATCATGCCGGAGCCGTTGAAGAGGTGAACTTCGACGCCAAAGGCGATAATGCCGAGGCCAACCGTCAGGCACTGCTTCAGGTTACCGCAGATGCTCATCGTCAGGGCACCGGCGACCTTGTTCGTCTGGAAAGAGGCGACGTTGAGGGCGAATGCGAGGATGCCGTTGCCGAGGAGAGCGATAAGAGTGGCGAGGCTAATGTTACCCTCCACACGCATGGTGTTGAGGTTTCCGAGCTCGCCGGCGGCGATGGCGCAGGCCAAAGATTGCATAGCCGCAAAGGGCGACATGCGCAGCAGAACCTCCATAGCGGGGAGGGCCAGGGGGCCGGTCATAATGCGGTTGGTAGCGACGGTCTGTTAACATGTTCGTTAGTAACTGTAAAATGCATTGATAGTAGCACTGTAAATGGGACGAAGGTTTGCTGGCCGAGTTTCAGAGGGCGCAGAGGGCGGAGATGGCGGACCCAATTGGAGTCGCCGGGACCACTCTCCGCAAACTCGACAAAGCGTTGTATTTCGGATGATGGACGGGAGATGGGCAAACCCAAAATAACGTACCTTGACCGCAGCAAGCACCACGCCCGCAAAGGTGAGCAGGAAGCCCAGGTCGGTGAAAGTATACTCGCCAATCGTGGTCAGAGCAGCACCAATCATGATGGGAACCAGCGTCAGGTAGGTCATGTTCTCATAAGTGCGACCAAAGACAACGCGGTAGATGAGAACCGTGAACACGGGGACGGTAGTTCGGAGGACCTGGTAGAATGGCACGGAGACCATGGCACTGGGTAGTGAATTAGCATCATCTCTCGTCGAGTTTGTTCGGGTTCCGCCCCTTCCGGCGGCGGCGGAGGTGCGGGCGGAATGTGCACCATCATGCGGCGCAGCACAGAACAGGCCCAAAGAGGAAGGATTTTGGTTACTTACAGTGACAGGTTAGACACGGCGATGTTGGTGGTGAAAAGCAAGCTGAAGGCGAGGAGAATGAGGTTTTCGCGGCGTCCCAGATGGGACATGGTGAAGTAGCCGCATTGCAGCAAGCAGTAGCAACCCAAACTCGCGCACGTGGCGTGAAGTGAGGTGAGAAGCCACGGAAAGGGGAACTAGAATGAAAGTTAGAGGAAGCTCATGGAATAGGGTGCTTTTTCCCCATCATTTCATCGCTGCTCATTCGTATTCTCAACGATATTGATGAGGATTCGGAGCTCACGCATGCAATGATAGAGGCAATGTACATACCGCTCCGAGAATCAACTTGTTGTAGAGCGTCAAAACCAAGCTGAACATGAAATAGGCACTCAACCAGCCAAACTTGACCTGAGGTGAGATGGTGTACTCGACAGGGTTGCGGACTCTGTCGGCGTTGGCCTGTTGTTCGGTGGCGGCAGTGCTGTTGGCCTCGAGATCGTAGCTCTCTTCGATTCGCTTCTCATCGCCGTTGAGGAGGCCGTGGCCCTCCTCGCTCCGTCGAGCCTCGTTCTTGAGGTTGCTGGATTCCGCCATTGCTTCCAAAAAGGGTTCGTCGTCGGGACGGTAGGGTGTGGGAAGTGGTGGGTTTTTGGCGTTTGGGTCGTTGTTAAAAAGAGGTTGAGCCTTTTGGGTTTTCCCCGTTTTCGTCGCAAGGTGTTGGAATCCTCTTTCGTTTATTTGTTTAGAGACCGTGTGTTCGTCCACAGGTTCCCTGTCGCTTAGGGGGGGGTTAAGTCGAGAAAGCTGACGACTGTCCTGGTTTCACGACGTAGATCGGTCCCGAGCGGGCGGGGGGATTTGGGCGGCAAACGGGCGTGCGTCAGGTAGTCGAGCTTAAAAAATATCGGACTAAAAAGCGACGAATGGAGGAACGGCTGCGGACGATGCGGACAAAGTGTAAATAAAAGAGAAAAAAGGTCCAAACGAGAGGCAGAGCGATCGAAGGAGTGTGTGGTTGACAATATGAATGAAGGAAGAAGGAGTAAAAGAAAATAGGGACCTGGATAGATGGAGGGAGGTAGATGAGGTGTGAGGTGTAGTACTTGGGGGGGCGGATAGTAGAGACGGGAGGTACAAGGCACAAGGCAAGGGCGTTTGCTCAGTGGAACAGGCTGTAAATGAACCCAAGACTTCGGATCGCGGGCTTTGCGAGGCGTCAGCTAAATCCGATGCAGCAATGTATTCAGAAAGGGTCTGGGAACAGGGGGCAGGGCAGGATTAAGGTAAGTTTTTAGAAAAGGGAACGACAGGAACCGGAAGGGTTGAAAGGACGTGTGGAGAGAAAAGGAATGGGGGAGTGAAGTGAGTGGTGAGGCGGGCACACGGCGAGACAGATAGCCCAGGTGAAGGACGGACGGGAGAGAGAGAGAGAGGGTGGGAATAGGAGTGGGAAGCACGGTACGGAGACTGACTATCTCAGAGAGAGTGAGCACACGGGATTGAGGACAGGCACAGGGTGGAGAGGGGAGGGAGGGATGGATCATGGCAGAGGAGACATGACCCACCGGGGTGGAAGGACAAGAAGAGGAAGCAGAGGATGCCGAGATACTCAAACGGGCATCTTTCTCGCTTCCGCGCTTGGCATCAATGACGTTTCGGCTGGCGGCATTGCTCATTGCCCAGTCCTCCTTTTTTCAGTCCCCTTCTTGTTCATTTGCCGTTACGGTATACAAGATAGGAGTTACGGATACCAGACTGCCAGATTCTCACTCAAAATACTTTCCAACAATAAACAGTAGACGCATCCTCTAATAATGAGTGAATGATAATGACATGAGTGAGTGAATGATTGAGCGAATGAGTAAGTGGACTGAGTGAGTGAGTTGGTGACTTACAGCCATCTCCCGGCCCCGGCACACGATAAATTACACACGTACCTGGGCTGGTCTGGCTAACCCAAGGGAGCTTCCTCAAACAGTAAGGGTACTTCGAGACTCGGGGATCAGGAGAGCACACCACATCGAGACAGCAAGAAAGAAAAAAAAAGTCAGAAACAAGACTTGATCCTCCGCCACTATCCGTACGTAGAGTAGCAGTGCAGGTGCGCAGTAAGGGGTCTCTCAGATCTGTCTGGGTTTCTCCCGAGTCTATTGAATGGAAACGAAACCCGGCATCGCGGCTTCTCATCTCATACACTTTGGCTTTATCGCTTTATCGACCCGCCCTCATAGGAGAGAGCTTACGACGTGTCTACCACAGTAAAGGGAGCGAAAACAGGACTCAGCCACGGCCACGGGCGATACGGCATCTTCTGTCACGAGGCGATACTCAATAGTGGACAGAAGGCGTCGTGGACACGCTCACGTACGCAACGCTTTTTCTCACACTTCATACAACAGAACTCAAAAGTCTGAATGTCCAACCCGCCTATCAAACCTAGGCTTGCGCGTTTGGGGATAATTACATCGGCAAAATCTGGCCGGTTCGGCTTGCTCTAGTCTCGATGCGACCCCATCGTTCTCGAACGGCCTCTCGTAGTCGATCGCGCTGTCGTTGTCGTTTTGGTGCTAACGCTGGCGCTGGTGGTGCTGGGCCGCCGCCGGCGTCGTGTGTGTGATGTACATTGTGAGTGAAATCTGCCCGCCCGTTTGAGCTAAACGGCAGCTAGTAGCCGGGCTCTCTCACCAGACTCCAGTGCAGTCCTACCTGCCGGCAGGCTCACCGTGACGCCGCTTTGTTTTACAGCGTGCTGGCGGCTGCTCTACATAAAGTAGAGCGGGTGTCGCCGTGTTTCCCATTCGGGATCCTCTGCTTTCACGGGTTGATTACCTACACACAGTACAATTGGATGAGTGAAGCTCTCACTCACTTTGGATGAGGTGGTGCTGGTGGTTTAGATGGGGGCGACAGGGCTTTGGGGTGCAGTTCTCCATTATCGATCAGTGGCTGCCAGGTCATCATCGTCATCTATCCTCATTTCTAGTCTGGAGACTGGCGGGGGTGGTTGGAGGGTCTCGCGGGTCTGGGAAAGAGTGAAAGTCACTCAACCTGTGGTAGGTACCGTACGAATAGAGCTCTGTGACTGGTGGGCGGGATGAAGACGCCCGACGGACCAAAGATGCGGTGGGATGTACTTTCGTACAGTGCGGTGGCGGGTGGGATTTTGCGTCCGAAGTTGAGCTTTGTCTTGGGAAGAAAAGAGCGCCCCCCATAACCACCCTTGGCAGCCGCGTAAGCCTGGGGCCCTGATTCATCCTGGTGCGGCCGGACGGCAAGGGAAGGGGGAGGGGGGAACCACAAGAGTCCTATGGCTAAGTACCTAGCGAAACGGGGCCAGTTAATAAAGGAGAGGGGCCAGATACAGTGCAATTGCGGGATGAGAGACCGGGGATGTGGTTCAATTGGAGGAAGGGCAGCAATTATCTCTGGCAGACCAGGGGATAGAAAAGGCAAATACCTGCCACCAGGTTGGCCAATTGCGTGGGACTGTGCCCCGCCGGGGTTCGGCGGGATCAATCATGAAGAAACCTGGATAAAGTGGAATGGAAGCATTTTTTGGAGCACAACCTACCTTAGCTGGCGAGCAAGCTCCAGTTGGCTGAGGTGAGTCTGGGAGCATCAGTGATCACTGGCAAAGCTGGATCAGTCCATCAAGCTCTAGAACACGTTTAATTGCGTTTAGGCGGCGGGTCTTGTTGCTGTCTCAAAGTCTGGTTCTATCTATTTGGGATCACTTGGAGAAATTCCACAGAACGATTGATTCCAGTTGAGCGGCCGCTGCTGCTGGCGCATGATTGGCAATCCGCATCTTGTCGCGTTGTTATCAATTCTTGATCTAAAAAAGTCTCAGACCCTACGTACCTTACTTAGGTATGCCCGTAAAGCTACCTTAGCTACAAGGCTTGCGCATGCACGAGCTTTCTAAACAGACTTTGGAGACTGACTCTCCAAGACTCCAGCTGTCGTCCCTTCTTCATATCAAGAAAAAAGCCAAAAAACAAAAAGCAGGCGGAAAAGTGGGGGTAAAGCGACTCCAGTGCGTGCTGTGTGTGTGTGCTCGGTACGAATACTCAGGTATACGCTCCTTAGCGCGCGTGGGTAAGAGAGTCATTATCACTGGCCGATCTCATTTAAATGCGGCTCTAGGCAGGGTCCAGCATCCAAGGAGCAAAATCTAGCTTGATGAGATGCGAGCGAGCGAGCCGAAAGGTTGAATACTCCGTAATGATGTAGGGGCTGTCAGGGAAGTCTGAAGAGTAGTAGTTACCGAAGGCAATCTATCTGGATAATTCGTTTTCTGTCTGCGGCTGCTCACAGGTTTCGGCCCATTCATTATCATCAGTAAGTACTCTACCGTGTGTTCTGTCATGGCACGGGAGGTTTATTTGGCAGGTCTCACTCTAGGTTTAGGTAAGGGACAAGTGTTAGGCAGAGCTCCAGCAGAAAGACGTGCGCGTGGCAGCATGGCGATGGCTGTCTCATGTTTCTCTTACTCTTGTCTGTGGCCCTGCAGCCGCCGCACGGAGGGGGAGAAGGAAGCTGCCCTGCACATACTGCACATACTGTGTTCGGATCATTGAGTTGGCTGATCAGCTGGGCGCAATTTGATTTGCTGCAGTGTGCTGACAAGAAAGCGAAGCCGATGAATCCGAAGTCTGGCGATGCCCAGCCTTTTTTCCTTCTTATTTTGGGTTTGGTTCCCTCCCTTGGCTTTTTTGGGGGAGGGAGGAGCGGAACGGTGGAAGCTCGGTGGAGAGGGTGATGGTTGATGATAGCAAATAGGGGACGGCTACAGAGCCAAGCCGCGCGGTGCTGCAGGCAAACCAAAGGAAAACCGAGCGGGAAGCAGCCTGGACACTTGAAAGACATTGGATGCGACTGGCTGAGGAGAGATGCAGGGCGGGAAATGAGGACCAAGAAGCAAAGCTCAGTAGTAGGTCGTAGGTATCCTATGGTCGAGCCAAGCATGGCACCAGCTCCAGCACAAGCAGCACGTCGAACCAAGGCACTGGGGCTTATGACAGCAATTGCAGCAGAGAACACCGAAGTGGAGGAGAATTGTGGCTGCGCCGTGGGAGTGGAAAGGGGGAACGGACGGGATGCGGTGGAGACGGTGCGACCTCAGGATGGCGGCGGGAACACTTCCAGTTCGATGTAGAAAAGTACGTATCAGGGGCCATTATGTCATCTTTCTATTTTCTTCGTTGTGAGGTCACTGACAGAAGGCGCCCGACCAAGGTGCACAGAATCGCAGATTAACATGGCCCCGCTTACCTCAGCACGCAATTCGCATCTTATCTCTTTCCCATTGGGAACCCACAGTTTCGCTTCTTGCGCCAGGTAGATTTACACAATGAAACCATCGTGGAGATACAAATGCCGCTCGCAATCTACAGCCTCTATTCCAGGTCATCAACGTCTAGCCACGACAGAGTAGGTATCCATCCACGAGGCGGCGCACAACGTGCAATGTATCGACCCAGAGGGAAGTAAGAGCACAACACGAAAGGTACCGACAACACCTGCCTTGCGATAGGTACTCCAAGACCCCAAGACTCTCTAAGCACCAAGGGAGCACAACCGACGAATCGACGAGGGCGGTGGCGTCTGCAACGGTCGGTAGCCCATCTCAGACAACATGGAAATTCAGCCACTTTGCCGCGGCCTCTCTTGGCGGGAGCGGTGTTACACACTTAGTTACCGTGCTAAAACTGGTCAACTGGCAACGGCTCTTCCGGGACAGCCACAATTGACGGCGGGAGTTACTGCGTAGTGGACAGTGCGCCCTCCCTTTCGCGGCTTGCCCCAAGTGCCCAACTCCAGCTCCATGAAAAAGTCTCGAATCTTTGATGGCAATGGAACATGTTGCTTGCTCCCTGTCGACTGCCGTGCGTAAGGCAAGCGGCGATGTAAGGTAAGGAAAATAAAGCAATGCGCCAAGCCAAAGGCCACCAGGGACGAGGGTTGTCTGTCACTCTGTCTGAGTCTGACTCTAACGAAGAGCAGTACGGAGTATTCCCGCGTACGACTTTGGAAAACTTCTGTGCGTATTTGCAGGTAGTACGAACAGCTGCAGACTGCTGAGCTAAGGCAGTCAGTCAGTCATCCAGTCAATCAATTGCCGCCATGCTGGCTGCAGACAAGACAAGAGGCAGCACGGCTAAGGTCTCAACCGTCACCGATGCGGCACCGATGCGGCGATACCAAGCATCCAAGCCGGACGACACGGCAAGTCTGATATCTTGGGTCATCACCCACCTCACCCACTGAACCACCAACATCAGACCGTCACCGTCAGCCCGGCCCTGAGCTAGCCAATGCCATCCGGCGCTTGTCAGCGCCCCCCCCTCCGTGCCTCCCCATGGCTTGATATTCTGATGGTCCCAAGATCCTTGGGTGCCCATGACTGGACCCAGTAGGCTATTTCCTAACACGCGTACTGGCGTACCGACGTACACAGAACAATGACAAGCCCAGCCCATGCCATGCGACACCGCGACGTCCACCGCTAAAGTGCGTGTGTGAGTGTCTGGGCGGTACGGCAACTTTGAGACGTCTGTGTGCGTGTCCCTCTCCTCGCGTCGCTCAGGACGCCAGGGACTCCCTCCTGTCTACCAACGCTTCAAGACATGCGTACCATGAGAAAGGAGATTGATGTGCCGGTCAAGCTGATTATCATGTACCCGGCCTGATGAAGCAAATAGCACTTGGAACTTCCATTGGGAGAGTTGAAAGGCGGACGGTAAGATGACCTCTCCCTCTCCGCCAGTCCCGGCGTCCCGCCCGCTAGGTACGCCACGCTGCACATTCCCTCCCCCTAATTGCTATCCGAGGAAGGTACCTCGCATTAGTACCTTTCCTCGCACCTGCACTGAACCTTCACCAGCCTCCCTGCTCCTTCCGCACCTCACATGGGGCTGCGTGGCTGCTTCCCGCTCTTACGCCCTCCTCTCTTAGTGCCGCCCACCCATCCCTTCCTCATGCGCTGAACAAGAGGTACATCGTAAGGTAAGGTAATCATTTGGGACACCGCCCGCACCGCTGCATCAGCAGCAGCAGCAGCAGCAGCAGCAGCAACAATGACAACCCAATATCCGTACCTGACTACCTAGGTATCTTACCGTACCTTACGGATACTTTGATACCTGATGTCCAGCGGTCATCAACCACCAAAAAGTACCTTGGTCTTAGCTCAATCTTGGCCCCTCCAAGTCGTCGTCACTCCGGGCCCGTCCTTCCTTCTTCCCTAATCCTCCCTTTTATTCCGTCCTGTATTATTACAATTCTTCTTTTTTGACCTCTTCCTCCCCCCTCGATACTCCCGCTCGTCCAATCCAATCTTGGACGAATCATCCCGTGCAGCTGGTCCACTTAGCCAGACCCTGCTTCCAATTTCCTTTCCGCCGCTTCTTCCCCGGACTCGAAAGGACTATCGACGCTCTCGGAGTCTAGTCCACTACCCGTACCTGTCCCAAGGATCCAGAGGTACCTGAACTGGAATTCACCAACTCAAACTTCCAGGTTCAGTGCGGCTCAAGTCACAGCCGTATCGGTCGACAGCCTGTGTCTCTCTCCATCTCTCTTCCGCGTCGACACATGACCATCCACACGCCTGTCTTTACCGAGAAGAGCAGCACACCAAGACAAAAGTAGACGATACCGAGACCAAGGGGTTCGACCACGAGGGTGGGAAGAAAGGAGCTTTCTCAGCGACCACGGGCGTCTCCTGTTCCTCTGGCCTGACAGCTCTTGGAAATACTGACTTTGGCACTTGGCCTTGGCAATTCCTGGCCCTCAACCTGAACCCAGGAAAAAAAACTCCCCGCCCATCTCCATCCGCCATCTGTCACCTAGCATTTCTTGCCACAGTCGGCCTCTTCCACTCATTTCTTCCTCTTCTCTTTTACCCTCCAACCCCTTAACAACGACGACGATCCTCGAGTCCTGGGAGTGTGCATGTTCTTCTCTACTTTCCTTCCTTACTCTCGTTACTGCCGGCCCTTGGGTGTTCATTTGGTTCGTTACCGTCTTTCTAATACCCCAAACTGCACTTTCGACCTCTTTGCTCTCTCTCGTGGATATCGCTTCATCGCCGCCGTCGCAAACCAACATTGCTTTGCACTGCACTAGCCCGCTTGCCCACTTGTCAACCCCCCAAAATCGCCCAACCTGGATCTCAAGCCAATCCGGCAGCTAAATGAAACCCGAGTCGCACCCATGTTGATGGCTCTGAAAGGCCGCAGACTCGTTCTGCTGGCCGCATTCGTCATCGTTTCGGCGCTTCTCATCTTCTCACAGTCTCTCTACCCTGAGAACCTAAGCTGGGTAGGCTTCTTTCCTTCTTTTTGTTTCCTGTCGTCACTTCAAACTTCTTGTCGTTTTTTGATCGCCGTCGCAAGTCCCCCGTCTACTGGGGCAGTTTTTCCCCCAGGAGAGGAAGAATGCGCACCCACGTGCCGACTTGGGCTGAAACTTCGACCGAACTCCTCGATGCGGGACTCTGAGACACCCGTTGTAGCTGTTTGTGCTTGACATCTGAACTGACAATGGCTTCCTCCCACAGTCCGATATCTCAGCTTCTCTCCCCACCGGAAGTAAATCCTCCGCGCCATCCACCAAGGGGGCCAAACCCGCCCGCGCTGGCACCGGCCGTTTCCATTTCCTGATCGCCGCCAGCGCCCCGAACTTGCAGTTCTGCCGCGCCCTCGTTTCGTCTACCGCCAACCGCTTCGGCGCGCCAGTCATTGCAGGATGGAACGGCACCGGCGAAAACGATGCTGCCCAGTCCCACTTGGCCAAGATTCGCGTCGTCACCAAGTACCTCGAAGACTTGCCCGAATCCAGCAACGATGATCTCTTCATGATGATTGATGGCTACGACGTCCTTCTCCAGTTTGGCCCCGATGTCCTGATTGAGAGATATTTCAAGGCAGCGGCCAAGGAAGACGAGCGAATCATCCAGCAGCTGGGACCCGAGAGGGCCCAGAGTCTGGCTGGTCCCATGGGCCGACATATCTTCTTCGGCGCCGACAAGGTCTGCTGGCCCGTGGACTGGCGGCGTCCGGCTTGCTGGGCGGTCCCTCCGGTGCCCAACATGGACGGCCACGAGTTCGGCCCTCTCACGAACACCGGCGAGGATATGGCCTTCAACCACCCCCGATGGCTCAACAGCGGCACCATTATTGGTCCCATCAAGGAGATCCGCGAGATGTTCCGAGCCACTCTCGACCTAATCAACGAAGTGTACGACCCGGAATACGAGTTCAGAGAGAGCGACCAATTCTACATGAGCGACGTCTGGGGTCTGCAAGAGCTCGAGAGAATACAGATGCAAAAGGAGGAAAATCCCGATGCCGCTGTCATGCTGCCTCCGGAAGACGGCTGGGTTCCCGAGTTGGAGCCCGCGTACAGCTACAACTTCCACATCGCCATGGACTATTGGAGTCTGATGTTCCAGACATGGGCTGGCTACGGCGAGTGGGTGGACTGGCGCAAATTTGACCGCCCCCTGTACTCGGTCGAAATCTCACAAAACTATCGCAACAGTTCCACCTTTGTGCCTTGGAGCTTGCATATGCAAGCGGACGGCATGAAGTCGCTGAAGCGCATCTTTAACACAACAGAGGACGAAACGATGGGCGCGACGGTGAACGAGCTGATCCGGAAGTCCGAATTCGGCGCCAACATTGTGACAAAGCAGACGTTCCCGCTGCTGCACGTCACCGGAGAGAAGGGAGCCTTGGACGTGTTCTGGCCTCGAATGTGGTTTTTCCCCTACGGCCGCTCGCTGATCCGGTCTGCTATCAACTGGTTCCAGCAGGAGGAACACTACATGCCCGAGCTGATTGACGGCCGAGTGTGGTATCCCGCACACCCGTATCCCAAGGACGTTCGGGAGAACGATGGCGGTGCCTGGTCAGACACTGCCAACAACAACGGGACCGTGTATTGGCTGGGATTCGACCAGCTGTGCGCAGAGCACCACGGTATTTTGTTTGGCGAAGATTAAGTAAGGGTTCTCCGTGAAGGGGGAAGGGAGGGTTTTCTCGCGCGTTACTTGGTTTGAGCATACTTGAGCACCTTGGGTTTACGAGGTCTGGAAAATACAGTGCAGGTTCAAAGGGAACCACCTGCACTAAATTCGCAGCATAAGAGCTGCTTGCAGTCAGTACTGGAACAAGAGTGTCCGTACTACAACAAAATGAAACGGCCCGGTTTGCATGTTGCGCTGAGCATATTACGATGCAATACCCAGCATTTGTGTGCCTGTTTTTTTTCCCCCCACATATCTCAGCGATGTCTGATGTCGTGTTTGAGTACGTAGAGCATAGCGACCAGGAAGCAATAGACAGACCGCCGTCAGAACGACGGGCGGCAAAGTTCAAGACACGCCAACTTTGACATCAGCTGAATGTGTTGTGGTGGATTATCCGGTGACTGGACGTGTCTAGAACAACAGTCTTGGCTGTCTCGGGCTTGCTCCGACGAGGTGAAGTCGAGTTTGACTCTTCCTCTCCCTGCTTCCGCTGCCGCGCCACTGTTCGGACTTGATGTAGGGCTGGGGATTCAAAAGAACACTATTGAGCGGCAATGTTTCGCAGTAGCTGAAGGAGGGTAGGTAGGTACATGACTATCCCGGGAAGATGAGATGGCGCGTTTCTAGTATTTCGATAATTAAGGTTTTTTCGGGTCTCCTTGCAGGTAGTAGCTGAGATTCTTATTGCCTGTTAATTTTTTTGGCCTTGTTTCCTTTCCTTCCGAATTTGGATGGTATTGGGGTCACTTTCTTGGCGTGATTGGTTGGAGCTTGGAGTGTTGCGGCTGATGGCGTTGGAAAGTTTCTCAGGCGGCGGCTGTGGTTTGGAGGCTTGCCAAGGCGAACCGGGGCGCGGCCAATCCCACCTTTGATTCGGTCTTACCTTTGGCGGATGAGACTTTGGCGGACTTTGGGAATCTAGCGACCTGAGAGGTCTCGTGATGTGACGGGTTTGGGCTGCGATGCATCAAAGGGAGTGGTGAATTTGTGAGACAGGTTTTGGGAGTGAGGCTGGATTTGGGATGAGACTCGACTGAGTTAAGCATGAATGTACGCAAAAGAAGCAAAGAAAGATGGGCAGCCAAAAAAGAAACGCTCGAGATGCAGACGTGAAAGGAGAAAAAAATGAAAGTGGTCCAGATGGACCAGCTTCGACTGCCCAGAGGCGGATTCGAACCGCCGTCAACACGGATCGCTGTATAGAAGAACCACAACGTAACATCCTAACCAACTAGACGATCTGGGCGAGTTGATGAAGATACTGGAGGGGAGAACTGTCTCATGGAGCATCATGGTAGGTAGTTGGGTGGGTTTTTGCGCGTGGTTGTGGGGGCAGGTGGTGGGTAGTTGGGTGCTAGCGGACGTGTTCTACATCGTGAGAAATTCGGTGGCCTTTGTGCGGGAGATTTGGAGGTTGAGAATTTGGGAGGGGGAAGGAAGGGATTAGGTGTGAATTGGGTGATGAGAGACTAGGTAAGGTTCATTGCTGGAGGGGTAAGTAAGACGGGAGTCATTCGAGATGTTCGGGCTGCAGAGTACAGTCAGACGGGATATGGGTGTGGCGGAGGCTTTGTGGGAGTGGTTGATTATTGAATGTTTTGTGCGTGAGCACTTGCGCCGGTGCGCATTTCCGGTGATTCGGTTACTCGAACGACGGAACATTTTTCCTGTAGAAACCAGAGCGCTTGGTAGAGTTCTTTGGCTGATGTTGTTCAAGGTTGGATGGTTCATCCCATAATGGCTATTCGGTATGCCCGCTCCCGCCTATCTTCGGCAGAGTCTCATGCGGCTCCAAAGTCTGATTTGGAGGCAGGGTCTCACGATGGGTGTCTGCAGTGTGCGCCTGTTGACGATCACGAGGGTTCGTGAGGGTTGGTCTGGGACAGCAGATAATGGTTCTGAAATCTTAGGTGAGATGCGGGACTGGGCGATCCCGATCGTAGGGCTGGGCTGGGCTGGTTGGATGGATGGACGGATGTTGATGGCTCTGGTCTTACAACTAACGCTCGATGCAATCCTTTTTGGCGGGGTATGCACGACGGCCTTCCCGTGAAACTAAGGTTGTGGAGGATTGAAAGTCGTCGAATGGTAAGTGGCAGACGGGTAATGTGATGCCTTTTAACTTTGATTCTGTCATTGTTATCGTCACCTGCTTAGTCAGTTTCGCTTACTGCTCACCCCACGACATATGTCTAGTCCGAATTGGTGCGACTGTATTTGTACGTCAGTAAACTACCTAGTAACAATACCAATAAAGTTCCAGAGCCCAGTTGACACATGTTGCAGTGAAACTGTCGGAGTCGAGAGCCTCAAAACGGTTGCCCTCAATACCTAAGTAGGTATCTCAACACGTCTGCAGTCAATTGATTCGCCTGCTCGTCGCCTCTGGGGGAAATGAACCTCCCAGTCACCTGCCCCAAGAGGCAAGAGTCCGTCGCTCTCCCCTGTGCCGTCTCTTCCTCGCCAATGCCCAGACGCCTCTCTTCAATGGCTCAGCGCGATGCAGATGCGCGGCACTGCCCGCCTGCTCATTTTCCATAACCTCTTAGCGATTGAAGAAGCTGACCTATGGCAGGCGACTCAAATGATACAGCATATTCCTAAAATTGTCAGTTGTGGAGGCTTTGTAATTCAATTGCAGCCCCCTTTCCCATCCAATTGACGATGGATTTGTTCCTTTATTGCTACCCTGAGCTCACACTCGTCCCTCTCAGCCATCCGTAGAGAGCAGGTGACTTGCAAGGGCATCGAGGCTGAGTGCCTCGCCGGCCAGTGACTCCAAGACTCGTCTTTTTTGTTTTAGTTCTCGAACGGAAATGGTCAATGGACGCCTTTTCTCTTGCCGTAACTCTGTGTCACCAATCCACAAGAAGCCACCGAAAATTGAGTCCTCAATGGTGGGAAGGCGGCCCCCGCCAAGCGAGTCCTGCCCTGTGCAACCACCCACCTCCACGATCCACCCAAATGATGACAAGAACACCACATTTGCTCTTTCCTGCTTACATTGCTTAAGTACTCACCTCACCTTCCCAAGGGTAGGTACATTGCCCAAACACAATGTAAGCCGCAAGGCGACCAATCAAGGCGGCAAGAACCATCCAATGCCGCAAAGCTAAGTATCGGAAGCTACAAACTCTTAGGTATTCTGGTGCCTGGACTGTTTCTTGCCCCGCCTCTCTTCTGCAATGCTGTGCCCCCGGGCTCTTGCTCGACAAACAGCCACAAGAGTCATCCTTCACCGCAACACCTGCCTGGTCCTTCCCTTTTACCTATTCTGTGCTCCAAATGTCAGACTTCAGCCTCGCTCTTGGCTGTTTTTCATCCCACCCTTCTCGCGCAAGTGAGCAACTACGGTGGAGGGAAGCGATCAATGCGGAAGAAGAGCGCGCCTGCGCGCTTCCAAGTTCCTTCCAATTGCTCCTTCCAATTGCTCCTGTTCATGTCTCTCTCTCTGGAATGCCCAGATCTCACTCACGAATGCCTCCCGTCAGCTCCTCATAGGGTAGCCTTACGGGCTCCCTAGCTCTGTTTCCTCATGCCTCTTCTGTGCCTCCTGCATGCCTTGTCCGGTACTTTTTGCTTCCCATAGTTCGCCCCCCCTGTTGTTATAAAGAAGGGAGCAGCCGCTTCCACACCCAGGGAAGGTAAAGATTGCAAGTCTCACGATATCCAACCAACGTTCAAAGAAACCCAGGCTCAACCAAAACACTCGGCAACTGATCCGGGATCCCCCCTTGACTCCTGTTTCTCCCTTCTACTCTGATTTGACGTCCATCCCTCCGTTCACCGCCTCGACTTCATCAGTGCTTCAACTCCCATCGCCTCTCGTTACCTACACCTAGAACCTACGAGACAACACCGTCCTCTCCCCTTATCTTGCTGATAGGTCGCTGCTCATCATGGCCGCCCCAGCCGCCAACATGAGCTACTCTCCAAAGAGACTGATCGTGTGCTGCGACGGCACCTGGATGAATTCGTATGTCACCAAACCCCCCAGCTTATATCACCGATTTTGTTTGCTGATCCAACCCCCATAGAGAGAGTGCATACGTTAAGCCCACGCTCCTCAAGCCCAAGGGGTCGCTGCAGATTCCCTCAAACGTGACTCGCATCTCGAGGTGTTTTCGCCGAAGGTGCAGCGATGGCCGGATGCAAGTCATCGAGTACGAGTCTGGCGTCGGCACGGGTAGCAATACCCTCGACACCCTTACTGGCGGTGCTTTCGGCCTCGGTCTCGGAGAGGTAGGTGTCTTCTTTTCCCATCTGACCAGGGGAGTTGGCGAAGTACTAACATACACAACAGCGAGTACGCAATATCTACAGCTTCCTTTGCGCCAACTACTGCGACGGCGACGAGATCGTCCTTGTCGGATTCTCCCGCGGCGCTTACATTGTCCGTTCCGTTGCTGGCATGATTTCCGACTTGGGACTCTTGACCCGTGAAGGCGTTGAGCACTTTTGGCCCATCTTCAAAGACATGGAGAACTGGAACAACCACCGCTACCGTGACGAATTCCCCACGATGCCGTTTGACAACAAGCCCAAGGGCGAAGGGGCAGCGGAGGTCTACAGGGCGAGGCTGGAAAAGGTAAACCCGACGTTCCCCAATATGGAGGATACTGGACGCTAACCTACGTAGCTCGGCATGACCCGTGTTAAACAAAACGAGGGCCAAGGGGATATCATCAAGGTCAAAGCAGTTGGTAAGGGAACCCCAATGCCAGTGGTTTTCCACAGCTAACAGAACAGCCGTCTGGGATACTGTCGGTAGCCTTGGCATCCCACAAATTGCCTGGTTAAACAAGCTCGGGATCTACGCATCGAACCGCGAGTTCAGATTCTGGGATACAAGCCTGTCTGACAGAGTCGAACACGCATTCCAGGCTCTGGCTCTCGACGAGACGCGTTACTCTTTCCAACCAGCTGTCTGGGAACGTCTCAAGGCTAACAGGCAAACGACTGATCTTCGACAAGTCTGGTTCCCGGGAAACCACTCAAACTGCGGTGGCGGCTGGAACGACCAGGGAATTTCTAACATCACTCTTGCCTGTAAGTCTACGTCCATGATGCCTCTGATCATTGACTAACATTGGGAAACAGGGATGATGGATCAGCTGGCATCCATTGGCGTCGAGTTTAACCACCTCGCACTCGAACGCTGCGTGCAGCAGTCCAATTCATTTTACCGGGCCCAAATCAAGGACAAGAGCATCAAGTGGGCAATGGACCCCGTCTACGGCCAGAACCACCCCCTCCGGCCTTGGGGTCTCGGTTCTATTCAGAAGACGTCAAACCTTCTCTACACCTTGGCCGGAAAGATCATTCGCTCGCCTGGCTTGTACAAGCAAGTCAATGCTCATACGGATGCTCGAACGGCTACTTTCCTCACAGACACAAACGAGCGCATCCATTCATCGGTCCGCATCCGTCTGGCTTGCAAGGGCCTGGGGTTGAATGACCTTGGAGAGTGGGACAACCCGGCTATGAAGAAGAATTGGCGGCTTGTCTACTCGAAAGCGACTTATGAAGACCCGGTTCCGCACCATCCAGTCTGGGAACCTGAGTCGGATCAGCAAGAGTGTATGAAGCATCCTGCCGACGCCGACTCTGATGGCCGTTGGGTATGGGAATATTGTGGCCCTAAGGAGAATGCTCCAACTAGTCCCAACGGGAGAACCTTGGTGGAGGAGCCCCTCGGGCCGTACGAGCGTCACCTATTGAAGTTGACCGGTGGTGACCCCAATGTGTATCAGTATGTGGCATCAAAGGAGGGCACTAAGCGCGCTCTGGAAGCAGAGAGCAGCTAGTGCTAGGTGTTGTAGCATGGTACGGCGCTGAGATACCCACTTCCCTCGTAGCATAGCTTTGGCGTTTGGCTGTTTTCGAAACATGGTATTAGACTAATAGATTGACACTGTATTCTCCGACTTCTGCTGTCAGTGCGAGTCCTCGTTCCTGGCACGACTACAAGGAAACAATGATTCTTCGAGAAATCCACGAGGCTCACGTCTCTTCATTTGCCAGTACGATGGTCTTAAAGACATAATTTGGGCCCTTATCCGATGTATCGACCAGCTTCCGACGCCAGCTTCCGATCAGGAAGTCTTGTTGCCCAGGCATCATGCGATGCTGACCAAGCTACGGGAAGTGACCTCCACCCACTCTCAGCCCCCAAGCGGCCGGCGATCCGAAAACGAGCACGAAGTCAAGATGCAAGAGTGGTTCATCCATGGCAAGCATATTTCCTAATTGAGGAATTTCTTTATCATGGTTGCAGGAATGACAACGACGACTATGTTCACCGCAGTGGCTATCATCACTCATACAGTATTCAACCAGCAACTTAGTCTGGGATTTACTTACACAAGGCTTAACAACGCTCGAAATACTTTAAAGTGCACTTGTAGAATGTTCGGGGGCGTTTATTGGAATAAGCTTATTGTTTGAATTTTGGATGGCCCCGGTTCGTCACGTAATGTGAATTCTAGACTAGCCCTTGGCACCAACTTTCGCCCTCTTCCGTTCTACCACGATATCTCGGCAGAGTTCATCTTCATTAGGGAACTTGGCCTGACCGGCAAGGCCGTGGCATGTACCAGCCCGTTCATCCGATTACGGAGACTGGGAAAAGCAAGAATTCTTTCCAACAAACACTAGAAAAAGCGGCATGGTCAATTGAGTGAGGGGAGAAGACGCTAGAGAGACCTTATGGTGACATTATCTCATGAGGTGGGGTCGGCCGAGGCTGGGGTCCCCACTGGGTTTGTAAGTCTACCGCGCGCGTCGGCTCTTTTATTTACCACCTTTTCTGTTGTAGACACTGCTTGTGACGGCGATGCTTACCAACATTGAGATGTTTTTGAAGTCGTCGCGATTCGGGTCGAGCCAGGACATGCAGGTTCTGCGACGTTGAAGCCTTGAAGGCGGCATTGGCTGGATTATTTGAATTATTCAGCAGAGGAGTGGTCTGAACAGAGATGCCGTGGGAGAATCAATGCTGTTGACCGGTCCGTAGTCTCGTTGTAGACTTACACGGCAAGATGATCCCAAGCAATACAGCTGATATTCAACATGAGTATATAGGAGAGTGGCATCTCTAGTAGTATGGCTTCTAATCGGACCATCATCCTCACTATCCTCAAATTTCATCCAGGACTTTGCTTCTGCTCCTACATACCTCACTCGTCGTCTTTGACTTACACCAACGCCGCACCTCACCATGATGATCGGCTCAACTCTGCTGGTCGCCACCAGCCTCGTCACCATGGCAGCAGCATACGACACAACCTTCGGCTTCAATGGCGCCCCCATCATCGAAACCCGCACCCTCGACGAGATCCATCAAGCCGCCCTCGCCGAGGGCGGCATCGTGACAGCCTGGCACGGAGGCGACGAGAAGAACCAGCAAGACGGCCTCAAGCGGGCCTTTGAGTCCCGTTTCCCCGGCATGACGCTCAACATCACCGTCGACGTGTCCAAATTTCACGACGGGAACATTGACCGCCAGCTCGCCCTCTCCGCTCTCGGCGGTGCCGGCGCGCTGTACGTCGACACGGCGATCCTGCAGACCTTGCACGATTACCCGCGCTGGGACCTCGAGGGCGCGCTGCTGCACTACCAGCCTGTCAACTTTGACAAGATTCACCCGGCGTTCCGGGACGTTCGCGGCGCGTGGCACGGGGTTTCGATTTTTGCGTGGACGTTTATCTGGAATGCGGACCGGGAGGGGGACGGGCCGAGAGAGTTTGCGGATTTCTTGGAGCCGAGGTTCAAGGATCGGCTTGTTCTCACGTATCCTAACGACGATGATGCGGTGTTGTATGCGTTTGATCTGATGTGAGTACAGCTACACCTTCTGGGCTTGTACCCAAACCAAAGTCTTCTGCATAGGCAGACCGTAGTTGACACTCAACTAACGCCCCCTCTCAACAGCATGCAGCAATTCGGCTACGAAAGGTTCGAAAAGCTCCTCGCGCAGAACCCGCGCTGGGTTCGCGGCACCGGTACGCCCGTCACCCTCCTCACCTCGCCCAACACGACTCTCTCGGCCACCTTCACCGCGGGTATCGGCCTCACTCCCCTGGCGCCGCTGAACGTTTCCATACCAACTAATGGCACCTTTGTGACGTGGGCGCAGAGGGCGGCTATCTTCAGGGACGCGCCGCATCCGGAGGGCGCGAAGTTGCTTCACAACTTTATGCTGAGCGACGAGTACCAGTCTACAACGGCGGCGGCGGGGTCATGGAGCGTGAGGAAGGATGTGGCGCCGCCGGCGGGGTATCCCGGGATTATGGATGTCGAGACGACGAATCCGGTTGAGTTTGAGAGGTTCATGGGGGACCGGGTGCGTGTTGAGCGGTTGAAGCTGTTCTTTGAGGATAAGATTGGGACGGCGCAGGGGTTGAGTCCTCTTCTTGATGACTTGTGAGGGCTTGATTAGTGAGTTTTGGTGTAAGCTGTGGTTTATGGACTACATGTGATGGACGGAGTTGAAAAGATGCGTGTATGGGAGTTGGCGAGAATTGGCTCTGAAACAATGGCTTCGATTCAATATTGTTATCAATTTTGTCGACATCGGCGAGACTCAGACAGTTGCAATAGTCAAGACGTGGCAGACAATCTTGGTCAACGTAGCAGGATTTGCAGAGAACGAAGATAGCTCTATGTGTCTCCAATTTCTCACAGCATGGGTTCTGCGATGGAATCTTGTGACTCTGGCACTTTTGCCGGTAGTCCAAGACAGCTTTGTGTTTGTTCTCGAGTCCCATGGCCGTTGCCTCGATCGAATATTCATAGAAACAAAGTCTAGTGTCCTCCTTTTCTCGATTACTCCAAAGCCGGCGGAGTTCCGCTACCGAACCCGCAGGGTACACCCTTGCCCGTACATGCTGCAGCCCGAAATAAGCGGGACGGGTCCTCCCGCTTGGTTCATCCCGTCGAGTTTAAGTTGCATCAAAGGATCAGCTGAATCAGCGCCCACTCGTGAGAGTCCCCACGATTACGGGCTCCTAGGGACGAGACTGGAAGGTGGACTTGTCTAGTAGAGTGTACCAAGACAGTCCTTACTAAGAAGCCAGTCGGAATTCCATTAGTCTAGGCACCAACTTTTGATTCAGTGTCTGTCTGCCTCATAGAATGGAGATGATGGTTTTGTAATGGCAGCTAGCAGCCTCAAATCTCGAGAGCAGAATTTGTATATATCCTCAGCTTCGGGCGGTTGTAGTGCCTACCATCCAGCCCTTAGCCATCCATTTCAAGCAAACATCCTATTGCCCATCATCGACTCCTTCATCTCTCACAAACGACTATCAAACAAACGTACCCGTTCATCACCCAAAATGTACACCCCATCCATCCTCACGCTCCTCGCAGCAGCAGCCCTCCATCTGGCAACCCCCGTCTCAGCAAACTACGAATCCGGCAAAGCAGTGCAGATCAACTTCTACTCCAACTCGGGGTGCTCCGCCTACACCAGCGAGACGGCGGCGTGGTGGACCCGCTGGCCCCACGCGGCCGAGTACGTCAACGGCGGGAGCGCGGGCGACTGCTTCTCGCTCGGCATGCCGGGCGCCAGCGGGAGTCTCAATGTCGCCGGCGTGTGGCGGGGCAATGGGGCTCAGACGGGCGGCGGGTGCGATTTGTATGACGGGTACAACTGCGGCGGCGCCAAGGGGCGCATTGGGTTTAATAGCGGTTCGGGAGGCTGTGTTGCTTCTAGGAGCTCGAATGGGTTGTTGTGGAAGAGCGCTTACTGCGGTGCCGCTTAAGTGTGGCGGGAGTGGAAGGGGAGAGGTTTGAAGGTTGTTGCGTCCTGCTTGGGTCTCGTCGGATGTTGAGATGTTTGGTCGAAATGCTCTACTGATCATGGAAACGTATCAATACTTCCTCACAAGCGTATGTTTACGGGATAGTGTGGCTTTTGAACACACCACGAACGCTTCATGGCAAGGACAATATTTGAAGCAAGCAAACATTTGAACCATAAGAATCGCGTACCTTTTGGAGCCAATTCTGTCCCTACGGTCTGTTCCTACGATCAAGAACTCCATACTTGTAAAATTCAGAGTGAAGATCTGCTGAGAAGACCATTGTTCTACGGGAAGACTGTCTTCTCATGGCCTCGCAGGGACGATGCCCTCTCGCCCATCCACGTCCGTCCACTCCTGAAGCGCGTCAAACAGTCTCCCCCACTTCCCACCAGACCACTCATTCCTCAACGCCTCCCACTCAGGCAAACACCCCCTCATGAACTGCAACCAGCCCCCGACGATAAAGTCCGCATACACGGGGCTCTCGCGGCCGTCCATAAAGGGACCCGCTCCCCCGGCAGGGAAACAGGGACCGAGCTTAGCCTCCAAGTTCGTCTCAAAATCCTCCAACATCTTCTTCCTGAACTCCGAGCCGGGGGGGATCTCGAGGTCCTCCCATTTCTTGCCCGGGAACCGGTCCAGGAACGATTTCCTGTCGGCCTCGACGGTGCGCGGGTCGAGGGGCATGTAGAAGCCGCCGAGCGGGGCGCCGTACTGGCTGAAGACTTGGTCTACGAAGGCGTTGAAGACGCGGTGCAGGGCCACCGTGCTGCTGCCGCTTTCTCCATCCTGGAAGAGTAGGTCTTTTTTACCGGCGAGGTAGGTTCTCTGCAGGTGCAGCGCGATGTCGAATGAGTCGCCCACCAGGATTTCCTTCTTCTCTCCCGAGCTGGAGGAAGAGGCGAGGGGGTCGCGGATGATGGGCAGGGTGGGGAAGTCAGTGCCATCGTCGTGTTTGCGGTTGGCGGGGAGTTGGAGTGAGTTGCGCGTCTCGCTGACGGCGTTGAGGGGAACCCAGGTTGTGCGGTAGGGGACTTTGGCGAAGTTGAGCGCGAAGCTGTGGAATGTTAGCCGGTGTAAAGTCTTTCTCCCCGTGAATGAGATGCGGGGGTGGGTGGGGGTGCTTTACGCACCGTGTCTTCCACGGGTTCGGTGCCATTGGATAGGCTTTTGGATCGAGGATGATGTCGTAGAACGTGATTGTGGGCTTGTTCGAGGCGTCCATGATGGGCGAAACTGAATTGAGGTACTGATTGACGGACTGTGTTGATGTGGCGTTCATGTGATTCTAATGTCTGGAGGATACTGAGCAATTGAGACAGGTAGGTAGGAGTGAAGAGAAGTCAATGGCTATTTCTACTTTTCACAACGAGGTCAGATACACACACACACACTGCTAGCGTTGGAATGTTCTCTTCCTGTAATTCAGAAGCAGCACGGGTGATCTGCAGCTGGGAAGGCATAGCCGCGATGAATCATATGCTATACAGGGCCCTAGCGGCCGCGACGGTGTGCCCCGATAGGCTAGCCCCGATGCCCCCGCTCGTAGCTGTGAGACAAACATAAAGCCACGGCCCGCGATGTGGGGCAGTGTATCCGGAGATCGGTTGAGTGAGCTAATGCCGTAAGACGGAGCGAATTATGGGGCTGCCGGTGCTTTGCACCTGCGTAAGTCGGATCCTTCCCGGAAGTGAGGTGATTACTGATCCCGGTCTGGGAAATACATATACGCACTACAGCTTTTGACTCGATTCGGCAATTGGATGACGGGACACTTTACCTACCTCTTCGACCCGGCAGCACCGTGCACGACGGTACGTGTGTTCGTATCCTTCAGAGAGTGAAATGGACCAGTCCACGTCGGGTTAGCGATGGCATGTAATGTTCGGTGAAGGGCTCGGTGAATGATTCAGATGTTTAAGCTTGAATAAGCAGGAACAATAGATCACTAATCATGAGTCGAGAGCACGACCCATTCTCAGCTCGGTGAGGCACGCACAAATGCGCACGATACTCTCCTATGATGAAGGAAGTCAGCTGCAATGCCAATTGAATGTATTCTCCTTCATTTCATCTACAACAGCCGAGCGCGCGATTCTGTCGTTCCAGAATCATGGCGGTGGGATACCGGAGGAAACTAACGGCCTGTATGGCATCCTCACGTCTTGGCATGGGAGACGATTGCTTACCCTTCCTACAGGAGTATCATTCGCCTTCAAGCCGTCATTATCAACAATCCCCAGGCTTGCGCCTGCCCTAACAAGCAATTCGTAAGCATCCTCCCGCCCGTTCTGGCCTGCGACGTGTAAGGCAGTCCAGCCATGGAACCCTCTCTGATCCAGCCGAGCACCGCCGCGTATCAACTCCGCGATAGCTTCAACATGGCCGTACCTCGTCGAAATCATGAGCGGCGTCCACCCAAGACGGCTCTCGACGCCCGGGTTCGCGGATGCAGCCAACAGGATCCGGATGCAATGCCTCCCGCAGCCACGACGGGCCGCGACGTGCATCGCTGCTTCGCCCTGCGCGTCGACATCGTCGGTGGGTACGCCCAGCTTGACGAGAGACTCGAGCACCTCGTGTAAGCATGATTTTGTCAGCCGGTGAAGGTAGGATGGTGGTTCGACTGGCTTCTTTGAAGACTCTTGGAGCTCTGACGCGACGAGCTTGAGGATGTGAGGGAGGCCGAAGGCTGCGTATGTGCGGCTTGCTAGGCGCAGGTTGCAGAGGTCATGCTTGTTTAGATGCTATAGCGTGTTAGTCGTTTTGCTTTCATTGGATCACTAATCTTGAGGACCTTGAGTATATCGTGGAGAATCTCTGGCGGAAGACCGTCAGGTGATGAAACGCCCATCTTGAACGGCTGTCGTGAACGTCTTCCTATTGCTTTCTCGTTGATAGCTGTGCTCGTCTCATGATGGGCAACCAGTGCATATATAAGTGCCTATGCTCGGTGCTGTGTGCTAATCTTCACCGTGATTGATAATCAGCAAACTTTGCACTATGGAAATACAGCCATACAGCGTTGAAACTTGAGGACATACAGTTTGGCCTAAAAGGGCAGAATAGATTCTGGCCTGACTGGCTTTCGGCAGTCCGCAGAATGGTATTGGCCGTGTTCCCGGGCTGGTCTTAGTACAATAGCATTGAATCTATCGTCAAATCCACGCTTCATCAGGCTCCAGTTAATCTAACCTCACTACAACTAAGGTTGGTCCAGGGTCCCTCAATCACGTCGGAGGTCCATGGAGAGCTTCTAATGCAATGATGAGAAGCGAGGAGCTCTTCTCACGCTCCGTTGTCACGACTGGAAACTTACCGCGCAAGTGTCTCGGGGAGCACCGCCCCCACTCCTACCCTTGAGGGGCAGCGGCGGTCATTCTCGGCCGGCCGGTCGGCCCTACTAATACGGCACCTGGCCCCAGCTTGGGTTGGAGAACGCTGACCCAACAGGCAGATGTGCAGGGAAACTCAATTGGCCAATGAGACCAGTGGAAAATAGCTTCGCTCCAGCTTCACTCGTTCTTCAAGGCCGGCGCGTCGCTTGAGTAGCGAATTCGGGTGCACCTAACTTATTCGAATTTCTATGCTACTGGATAAAGCAATCGAGATGATCATTTTCAAGGTCTCTTTGGGCGGGACTTTTGTTTGCCTGCAGCTCAAGTGGCACTGTGCAACCGGAAGTGCAGCAACATCCAGCTTCCACAATTTGCGGCTGCCTCTATGGACTACTTCACCATCTTGAACCACCACATACGACCATACCCATTGGAAAACTCGGGATACCGTCCGCTCTCCCATAGATAAGCCAATGAGGGCCGGATTAGTAGTTGGGTCGGTGACGACCAGCGAATACCTGGTGTTGTATGTTTTTGGAGTTTTGGTGGGTTTAAGTGGACTCACGATGTCTTCCTTTTGATTGCGGCCGGGCTCGCTAATACGCGGGACGTTGTTGAGCCGTAAACACGGACACTTGGTTATAGCCGAAACTGCAGAAACTTTAACTGCCCGCGTGCGGCCCGCAGCATTGCCCTGTTCATTTATCACACACAGGTGTGAGATGAACTCTATCTTTGCACTGATAGTTGGGCACCGTATGCTGCCCCGTAACAACGTCATTCGAGGCGGTATAGAATGCCAAAAGGTCCAATTTGCAATATGGGGAGCTTCATACTAACATAGTTCTTATATGCAAAGAAGATGATATCTTGAAAGTAATACAAGACTCTCGATAGTAGACCATCACACAGCAGAAACCGCCTGGCGTGGTAACTCCACACTGAGACTGCAAGTGAACCATCGCGAGAGTCATACTATGACCCTCTTTCTCTGTGGGGTTTTGCAAGACCGATTGGGCAGCCTGCCGTATTCAGAGTCAGCATGAAGCACTGTACGGAGTAGTCTGGTGATGCTCAACGACGTACAATGACTCGCTTGTCGCCGCGTGGGATGACCCGTTCGTCTCATTCGTACTGACTCGCCAGTACGGAGAAGAATAGCGGATCATAAATCAAAAGTCCATGGGGATTACGATCAACATTGTAAAGCCAACATGAGGCCAGAACTCACGACCAGCCAATCTATTAGACTCGACAACAGAAACTGGGGATCGGAGGTACGCGGACAACAACATATACTTCGGCGGGTAGCTCCTCCAGCTTCCAGGTATAAGTAGTAGCGCTCGAGCTCTGTATATGTGATTGTAACTACCCGCTAACCACATCGAGTCGATCTTGCAATAATATCACATTCACTCCTTCTTCTACACATAAATCAGTCATCATGAAGTTCACCCAGGCATTCGTCATTGCTTCCATGTCCCTCGGCGTCATGGCAGGCTGCCGCCATGCCCCCGAGGTCTGCAAATCGGACGTCGGTCCTATCTCGCGAGGCCTCACCAACGGTTGGGTCTGCGATCTTCCCGAAGACTTGCCCTGCCAGACGACTTGGGAGATCAC